CTTATTTGTATACAGCTCGATAAGCACCAAACGAACTAAACATGAACCAAACATGAACACCCTTAAAGTAAACGAACCAAACATGAACACAAATAATAAAGCTCGAATCAAACACGAACCAAACATAAACAAGCTAATGATAAACAAACTCAAACATGAACACTCACATACTCGGCTCGGCTCGGTTCGTTTGCAGCCCTATTGATGTGTACGTTGTTTCTCGTCTATGTTCTGTTTTATTGCCTTTTTCGTCAATGCCTTTGCTTTCATTGTATCCATGGCAGTCCAACTGTTCAACGACATAAAGGAAAAAGATGTGCACACAGACACCAGCTCATTAACACATACAACTTAAAGATGGTTAGATCTATGTTGGCCTATTCATTTATGCATGTTATGTTCTTCACCGTCAATGAGAGGTTTTGTAAAGTTTATTAAGGAAACCTCTCCTTGCAAAACTTTTCTTTTCTAGATGATTCAATTTATATTGTTTGTACTTTTCCTAATTACATTCCAAATAGCTTGGTGGATTTGTTCATTACGGGTTTCTATTTTAAATCTCATTCAAAGTATTGTAGTTCCTGCCATATCTCACCTCTACTGATTCGATTTTAAATTGCTTTGTAGGTATCATGCAAACAGAATGCTGAGCTTCTATGCTCCAGGTACACTGCGTATGACACATAAGCTGAGGACGTTGCTGTTAATCATTTTAATACTTCTCACTTCTCATCAGTTTTTTATATACAGGAAAATAATGATGTTGAAATTTCTCATCCATTCTGCATCGATATATGTCCATGCGCTAAAATAACTAATAAACATTAACCTAATTGTCATATTGCACTTTTTTTTAATTTTTATCTTACTAGATGCAATATCAACAACAACAACATCAAGCCTTTGTCCCACTACGTGGGGTCAGCTACATGAATCGTTTTTCGTCATTGTGTCATGTTAAAAGTCAAATTCTCATTTAAATCTAATAAAGAAATATCATTTCTAATATTTTATAACCAAGTCTTTTTAGGTCTACCTCTACCTATCTTAGCATAAGTCAAATCTAATACCTCAACTTTCCTAACCGGGTCATCGGAAAGCCTCCGTTAAATGTGACCAAACCATCTAAGGCGACTCTCTCTAATCTTATCTTCCATGGAGTTACTCCAACCTTTTTCGTATATGCTCATTTCGTATCATATCTCTAAGGGTAAATCCACTCATCCACCTAAGCATCCTCATCTCTGCAACACTTAACTTAGTATTATGCTTCTAATGTAGGCAAGGGATGCAATATCCTGATATATAATTTAATCTAACAATAACCAAACAGATTCGTGAAGAACCTTCTTTAAAACATGCAAGCAACCATAAAGGTACGAATCTGATGTACACTGTAGCTTATTCTTTTATAATGTTTAGTTCGATGGACTAATGTAAGTGCTTAACTTTTTTTTTTTCCAAGAATCAATTAGATAATTCTTAAGTGCTTAACTATATATCTATAATGATCTAGGTACTTGAACACAGTATTTTGTATATTCTCTTTGTGATTTCATCAATTTATGCTCGTGTAAACAATCTTAATTGTTGATGAAGAAAAATCCTAGTTTTGGTTATTAATATTATTGCGTCATCTTCTCTAGAATTAATTACCTTGCTAGTCACTTCATTGAGTGACATGCAAGATCTCCCTCCATGCAAAAGACTAACGTATTTATATTGACCACGTTTATCAAGGCTGGTGTGGAGAAGTACGTGACGTAATATTCTCTGATGATGGAAGTGTAACAGTGGTGTACCGTGTTACAATAAGAGGATCAGATGGAGAGGTATGTTTAATTGATTTTTGTTCTTTTTCATTAATAGAAAAGAGGAATTCTTGCCTGTTTAAGTAGATCCTACATACATACTTCGTCAAAAAATTAAAAAATTTAATTGATTTTTGGATGTATTAGGCTGATTAATTGATTTGAAAAGGATATTAATCTTTCCAGATTTCTTATGTTAATGGGGTATTAATTAGAATAATCTTCTAATGAGCAATTACTAGGTAATAAATCATTCTAATTAATCATACAAAATTAATAACTTTTTTAATATATTTAACTAGTTAGTATTAGATAATTATGTTATTAACCTATTCTAATTTGTAAGGCGAATAATTTACCAATCACTAATTTCATAATATTATGTTAATTAATTAACTAAATTTATGCAATTATATATGCATTATTATTGTAAGGTATTAAATTATTTTAATATAAATTACGTAAAAATGCCCATTTTGGCTATTCAATTTCATAGCAGTTTATTTAATAATCCTAGCTGTAATCTTATTAAATAGTAATTTGTTTTACTTAGCAGCAAGTGCAACACAATTCAAAAGAGTACAACACATGAAAACATTGCCAGATGAGCCCTAAATCTAAATAGCATCAATTGAACAAAATTTACTAGTTTGTTGAATGCCATTGAATTTATTTTGCATGTTTATTTTTCCCCCATGGATTTCTTAATCTTTACCGTTTTTTATGATGAATTGGAGCATCAAACTGCCCAATCATTCCTTCCCTAAAGATAAGAAAATCACTGATACTGTATTAACACATGTTGGGCTTGTTAGGGTCCTATTTCAGGAGAGTTGAGTTAGAAAAGAAACTTTTGACGGTGGGAAAGCTTTGCATGATAATCCTGTTTCATCAACTTCTTTTGATGATAACGAGAGTTATGTGGAATATTGCAATTATTTTGTTAGCAATTTTTTAATTGAAATTCTGAAATCTAAGAGGATACTGAATGATTGGTGAAAAACACTTTGATTGCACTATCTAAGAGTAAATAAACTGTTCAAGTTGTATTAATTATAGACTAATCAAATTCATGAGCCATATATCATGTACTTAAGGGAAAGAGTAATGGAACATAGGCCTAAAAACATCAATCAGTTTGAAGAATTAATTTGATTTCATACCATGAAGATCTACTATGAAAATAGTCCTCATATTAATATATTCACTATTAAAGTATAAAGAACAGAGAAACGGTCTTATTTGATTTTTATTGATCTTGAGAAGATATCTGACTAATTATCATGAAAATTGATTTGGTGCCTATGATGTATAGACACGGACACGGTGACACAGATACTTTACGGACACGTCAATTATTGAAAATATATGACACAGACACGCACACAGTTTGGACACGGTATTAGAATTTTTTTTTTAATTTTATAAATAGTGTATAAAAATTGATTAAAGATAATATTAAAAATAATTTTAAATTAATAAGTCATTTAATTAGAATTTGTTCTTAAAATGATTAATTTTAGGATTTCAAGAGTCAGGCGTCGATTTCGTGTATCAGACATTGAGAGAGAAGATGACAATGTTGTCGAGAGTCGAGTATTGATTTTATGCAGAAGTATTGAGCGTCAATGTTGAGATGGTGTCTATCGTCGATGTTGAGAGTGCGTTGATCGTTGATGTTAAGTCGAAGTTGGACAAAGATGAGTTGTTAAGTTGTGGATGTATAAATTGTTAGCATCAAGCATCAATGTCAAGATAGTGTCTGACTTTGATGTTGAGATGGTTTTAAATTTTTGATTTTGTACCAACGTTAGAATTCGATGTTGAGATGATATTGGACATTGTTGTGAAACCAAAGTCGCGACCTGCCAAAGAGAAATAAAAATGAGAATATTCGGTGAGTGGGGTATTGAGTACGGGGATTTGGTGTTGTGGATAGGAAATACGAAATTTAGTTTTAATATTTTAAATAAATAAAAATTTAAAATAAAAGAAATTATATTTAAAATTTTTCATAAAATATTTAATATACTTGTCGGATATGGGTGTTCAATTTGTATTTAATATTTTTTTAATCGGACATGTTCTCGGCATGTCTGACATGTATCAGAGGCGTGTCAGACATGTGTGATGTCTGATACACGTCGGATACTGCACGTCTCTTTGAGGGAAAGTGTTGGTGCATCATAGTTTGGTGCACATTAAGGCAAATATGGTGAAGTTTTTAAAGATGTGTATGATAGAGCACTGACTACTATTCACAAATTTATCATCTTTAATAAACAGTTGCGAATGATGGATTAATTTTACTTTAAGTTATGCGGATGATAGATTTTATTTGAATATTAAATTTTATTAGATTTTTATAAACTCATTTTGATATATCCTTGAAATAATTTGTATCAAGATTTGGGGGCATTTTGAAATATATGGTTCCTATAATTGAGATTTGCTTTCAACTCGGTCATTATCGATTGAAGTCACCTGATGTATTATGCTTACAACATAAAAAATATGAATTTTTGAAAATGAACCCCTCTGGTTGATATTCACCTTCAACACGATCATCATCAGGATTTTTAATGCTTTTTATTTTGCTATTTGAACCTTATCAACTCTGCTGACTTGCTAGCAAAATATTTGGTTCAATATGAGTTCATGTGGTATTTTGATAATTGAGTCATCTCTGGTTGAGATTCATTTTCGACACAGCCATCGTTAGGGAAAAAGCTGAACTTAAATGAAGGATGTGTAGCAAAAGCTGAACTTAAATGTCTCCTCAGAAACTTATTTAAAGAGATGATTGATGCATAGTTGACTATATTCATATTTGTCTAACACAATAAAAAAAATTTTCTTCCTCCTAAAATATATAGCTGGAAATAATGCCTCATTCACCTTATTGGCACAGGCACACCGTGAATCTACAGGGACAGTATCCTCAAGGAATAACCAGTTTGAAGATCCTGTTACTGCTGCAGAAGAATTAGCCTTCTGTAGAGCCTGCGCTCGGTTTGGTTTTGGCTTGCATTTGTACCATGAAGATTAAAGTTTTGTTTCGGACGACTTTTTTGTTGCTTCTTAAACAGTTTTTTAATATAAAAATTTTAATTTTTATACTAAAAAACTGCTTTAAGAAGCAGCAAGAAAGTCGTCCCAAACAAAGCCTAAGACTTTTAGCTGAAAAGGTAAATTTTGAGCCGAGAATTCTTGCATCTGAGGATATTTGAGTTCCAAAGAAACTGACTGTACTGTTATATATCAAAGCAAGCTTCCATATAAATGAGAAATGTTCATTGTAAATATGAATATTGCCTGGTAATTTTTAGTTGTGTGGGTTTGTTATTAGAGATATGGAACTAAATAACATTTTTGTTCTGATATAGTAATGTTAAATACAATGACATGAACTAGTAATTAGTCACCACTGAAGAGAAATCTTTAGTTTGATGCTTTTGTACCTTTAAATATAAATCTTGGGTTCTGTTTGGGACAACTTTCTTACTGCTTTAATTCGTTGGCCATAATCAAGATTTTTGTTTGACCATTATTTTTTCATTGTTTGCATGAAATTTTTGAGCTAAGAAGTTGCTTTTTGTAGCACCTTTAAAAAAAAAATCTTCATAATAGTTTTATAACTGTCCCAAATAGACACTTAGGCTTCATTTGGGACGGCTTTTTTATTACTTCTTAAAGCAGCTTCTTAGAATAAAAATTAAAAAATTTGTTTTTTAAAACAACTTTCTAGTAGAAAAATTAAAAATTTTGTATTAAAAAGCTGCTTTCAAAAGTAGTAAGAAAGCTGTCTCAAACGAAACCTTAGTATTTTCCCAACAGTTGGTATGTAAGAATGTAAATGCTTACATATGTATGTTATATTGTTGAAATTTATGATTTATTTGCGTGATGACTATAATTATCTATAAAAATTAGATTGAAATATTTTTTTTATTAATAAGATTTGATTAAAGTTCATTCAATAATCGAATAAGGTTCAAATTTGTTATATAATTGAGCATATATAACATATTAAAATGCAATCACAACAACTATAATGCAATTAGGCAAACACTACAATAGATAAAAATTTGATTAAAACCCTTATATTAAATTAAAGTAGTTATAATATATATTTACAATAACATATTGAATACAATCACAACAACTATAGCAAAGTCGATAAATTTTTTTATAAAATTAAATATAATAACAACATATATAAGATCACATTTATATTATTATAAATAGAGTGTTCATGAAGATCATCAAAATTAAAATCATTTTTATTAAGCAATAGCAAGTGAATTTTTATATTTAATTATGAATTCAAGCTACCAAGCTTTGCATTGACCTTTGATAGCACATACACTAAAAGCAGTGTAATACTTCACTATAAATATATTCAGATGGTTTGTGTTTGCCTCTCATATTCGACACAATAATGTCATTAACCTCATATATCTCAAATTACCTAAATTTTCATCATCGCACCCTTAACTCTATATATGATCGAACCATACAACTGAACGCAAAAGCAAAAAAGCAAAAAAATAAAATAAAATCAACCAATCCAAAAAAAGATGAAGCGTATTTGACATTTGCTTAAAGTCCATCTAACATTGATAAATCAGAAATATTTTCATATTTAACATACAAATTTCATTATTTACACCATCTAACACTTTGTCAACTCTGCTAATAGAAATGCAGGATTACACCATTGCCAGGCCCATCGACACCTTCTCGCAGCAAGCTAAATCACAACTTTGAGCTCCTACATACACCATTGATGCGACTTCTTCCTCCATTGAGCCAATTGATGCCCTTACTTGCGAGCTTCATCGGATGTCATCATTTCTCAACCCTTCAATCCCTTCACTTGCAATCATCATCATATCTCATAATCGTAGTGCTCACTCGACCCATTAATGCCCTCACCTTGGAACTACTTTGCAATTTTCTCGCTTGTTTGTTGTTGAGGGCCTTTCAGGAAGAGGAAAAGAGAGATGGCATATAAGTAATCAAAAGAGCGCAAAATGACATGTGAACGATAGCAAAGACAATATGATCAACTGACAAGGTGACATGATTTATGTTTCGTTTTAGACGGCTTTCTTATTGCTTATTAAAGCAACTTTTTAGTACAAAATTTAAAATTTTTTGTATTAAAAAACTTCTTTAATAAGCAACAAAAAAATCATCCCAAACAAAGCTTCAATAACAATGGAGAAGAACTTTTTTAAAATTTTTGGGTACTTAGCATGTAAATAGTAAAATTTTAATGTTAAAAATATAAATATCAATATTTTTAGTATTATTTTACAAAATCCCTCAAACTTTTAGGATGCTTATGTAAATTCTCCTTCATAATTATTTACACCGCTAAGGTCCGCTATATTTGCTTCAGCTTGATTCGTCGCAACAAACTTTGCTCCCAAACGCAATAGTCGCTGGCCTAATGGCCTCCTCGCCGCGTCAAATCCTGAAACCCTATCAAATGTCGGGAGCCCTCTCTCATTCCAAGACCGTCAAGAGATTTCTTCTCCTACCTCTGGCATCAAGAAAGCTTTTCAAAACAGCTCGGACGAGGAGGGTAAGTTCGACAGGATCGGATTATCTTTCCATTATTATGTCATAAAGATTACAGAGTTCCTCGCGCATTGCATTTTTCGATATCAAAATCAAATCTTTGTTTTGTTTTTGGTTTTTCCTGTAAGAGAATCAATTTAAATCTTATACAACGGAAGGTTTTCAAGAAGAATAATGAGAGATTGAGGAAAGATGGTGAATTTCTTATAGGTAAAGCTTGTCTTCATATTAATTTGAATAAGAGTTCCTCAAATTCTTCTTCTTCTGACATGCAGTGATGGAGCAATTAACTGCTGGGTCGAGAGACTCGAAGGATTTGATGCTGCCTGTCTCATCCAAGCTCAAATACTGGCAATGGTGGCTACTTGTGGTCCTAAACATTCTATTCCTCCTTGCTGGTCAGACCGCTGCCACCCTTCTTGGTAATTTCTATTATGACCAAGGAGGAAACAGCAAATGGCTCTCCACACTGATTCAGACCGCCCTTTTTCCTATTCTATTCATCCCTTTCATCTTCCTACCCACCACCTCTTCTTCTTCTTCCTCCTCCGTTGACACCAGCTCCGGCCCATCCATCGCTAAGCTTGCCATTATCTATACTGCTCTAGGCCTCATTATCGCTGCCGACAACCTCATGTATTCCTATGGCCTCCTGTACCTACCTGTCTCCACCTACTCCCTTATTTGTGCCTCACAACTTGCCTTCAATGCCATCTTTGCTTACTTCCTAAATTCACAGAAGTTCACCCCTCTAATCCTTAACTCTGTCATCCTCCTCAGCTTCTCTTCCGCTCTTCTTGGCGTCGATGAGGACTCCTCCGGTGATCCCGCTGATATTACCAGAGGAAAGTTCATACTAGGGTTCATATTGACAGTGGGAGCATCTGCAACCTACTCATTAATCCTCTCATTGATGCAACTCACCTTTCAGAAGGTTATAAAGAAAGAAACTTTTGTGGTTGTTCTGGAAATGCAGATATACACGGCTTTGGTGGCTTCCTGTGCTTCGGTCATTGGGCTTTTTGCCAGTGGAGAGTGGAAGGGATTACCTGAGGAATATGAGGGATTTTTCAAGGGAAAGGCTTCTTATGTGATGACTGTGGTGGGGGTGGGAGTGGCATGGCAGGTTGCATCTGTTGGTGTTGTGGGCTTGATCTTCTTGGTGTCATCACTGTTCTCAAATGCCATTAGCACACTGGCTCTGCCAATTATTCCGGTTTTTGCGGTGATCTTCTTCCATGATACGATGAATGGGGTGAAGGTGATGGCCATGTTGATTGCTATATGGGGCTTCATATCATATCTATATCAAAACTATATTGATGATTTAGCAGCCAGGAAGGCAGTGAGGGATACAACAGAGATCTCTGATGCTTCTATTCCTTAATAATTGAACTGCCTCAGGTAATTTAGTTGAGTGTTATTGTTTGTCTTCTTTAAAGTGAATGTCCAAGGTTCAAATCCTTTAGAAAAAATGAAAAGAAAGGTATATAGTCTTATCTTAGAATAAAACTGTTAGACCGGCTCAACCGGTCTAACCTGGACCAGTTCAGGTCTATTCCAGGTGGAATAGATCTGCCGCCCAGCAAAGGGGCGGACGGCCCATGGATCCAGTAGGGTTATGAGGGGGTTTGGGATTTAATTAATGAAAGCTTTGGGAGGGAAAATTCAAAATCAATGGCTGTTTAGGGAATTGTATTAGGGAAAAGCCGACCTATACACATCTCTTGTAGCATATATGAATATTGATAGAATCAAATTGAGTCGTTTTTAAAGTACATAGAATCGAATTCATGATATCACTAAGTGCGTAAGAACACGATGGCACTAAATCCATGTGATTCCACCAGCATGCAGTGCATCATGTATGCCATATATGAAAATCCCATAACATGCTCAATAACCTTTCATCATACACATTATGTCATATGTCAACTAACATCATACACATTATGTGATATTAGTAGGAGTAAGTAAACATAAAACATCCCAAACTTGCCAGAACTTGGTAAAAATTTGTAGGAGTACATAAAAAAGCATGCAAGAACAAAATTCAAATGATGAAATCCATCACAAATTCTTAAAACTACATTTCATAGCTTGCAAATAAAAACATATAGAAATGCATACAATAATAAAATATCATCATATGCATATAGGCATCACAAAGTATTAAAATAAAGTCGATTTAAAAAAAAGGCTCAATAAGCTATGAAAAAAGCACCAGCGTTCATGTATGTGTTCATGGATGTGTAATGGGTCATTGCACATATGAGTATTACACCTTAGGCAATATGGTTGTTGAATGGCTTGCATGGCAGTGATGATCATCCTATGATTTGCCTCATGTCTATAATTTGAGTTTTATTTTGATTGTTGGATATATGTTTCTTTGACTACCTGTTGATGGTTGATGTTCTTCTTTCAGTTGGTCGCCGATTGCTTTGCTGGAAGGCTCTAGTGCTGCTTATTTTGGGATGTTTCTTTGCTTCTACAACAATTTAAGGATCCTAACGTTTGTGTTGGTTCTCACATTTTGTCTTATTATTTTGATATTTTTGTTGTTCGCTATCTCCATAATCACTTGAAGATGTCATTGAGTTATTTATTTGTGGATCTCTTGACTTTCTAGAAATTCTTTGGATCTTCGTGCACATCTTTCTCAAATGCTTTATTTATTCTTGATTTGTAAAGTTGTGTGCTTTAGATGTCATTCTCTAGAGAAATTATTATGTGCGGACGCCGGACGCAGTTCTACGTCCGGAGGCGAATCAGATGCAACCACGTCAACGGTACTAAGCAGTATCAAGTCGCGATACCGAGCGAAGTGGTGACATGATGTATTCTGATTAGTGTCCGGACGACGTTCAGCGTCCGCATTGAATAATTTTTCCATTCTTTAAAGCTTTTTTTAACTATGTAGCTTTGGCTTTGGATTTTTTACTTATTTATTATTTTTAATTCTCAAAATTCCCAAAGAAAAAAATATGAATGTTTTTTCATCAATTTTTTTAAAAGTCACATGTAATGTTAGTTACATATTTCTTAAATAAATAAATTATTCTCATAAATTTTAAATCACAATTATGAATATTCATATTTTGAAATGAACGATAAGTTTTGACTTGATGATTAACCATGCTACACTCTCTTGATAAAATTCTCACACTTCTAAAAATGTTATGAATTGTTCTCCATCTGCTTATGTGGTTGCACACAATCCATATTCATAAAGTGGAGACAAAGTTAAATAAAAAGAAAAACAAAGGAAAATAAAATTTTGCCTGCATGCTTAACTCGAAACTCGTTCATACAAAATTGTGTTCATTTATTTAAAAACTCAAAAAATAAAAGAACAAAATTGAATATTGACTTGCTCATTTATTTATATTTGTGAATATGTCATTTTTTAATCAACAAATAGCTTGTTAAGAACTTAATTAAATATTTATTTAATGATGATTTAATTATTTATTTGATGATTTATGCATTATTATAGTGCTTTAAAAATTATGCAGATTATTTGAAGCATAATTATATTGCAAATATCAAAGAAATAAATAAATTAATGCATAGAAAAATTATTTTTAATAAATATTTCAACTTCACTAGACAACATAAATAATGCATAGTATTCCAATGTGTACCAACAAACAAGAGATTATGTTTGCTTTGTTCAGTATTCCAATATACTCCCATGAAATGTAATAAACTGAGAAATTAAATTTTGAAATATATCATTTCAAGGTAGAACTACTCTTTTGGCTTAGGGGGTATGAAAATTGCTAAGTAAATGAAGTTCAATTGATTTGATTATAACTTTTTCTATTAAGACTGCAACTGAGGCTTTGTTTAGGACAGCTTTCTTATTGCTTTTTAAAGCAGTTTTTTAGTTAAAAAATTAAAAATCTTGTACTAAAAAAGCTGCTTTAAAAAGCAGTAGGAAAGTTGTCCCAAATGAGCCTGAGTTGCAATTTCCACAATAATCCATTAGTAAATCTTACAAAGGTTTCTTTTTTCTTTTGGACTTTGAGCGAATTAAGTTACAAACTTGCATACACCACAAAAGCAAGCCTCGAACTAAAGATTTTGTAGTTGGCAGTCTATGCTCCCAACCAACAAACTGAGATAAAGTGCCAAAATAAAATGATTTAAATGGAATTCCGCGAACACTTTTTTGTTTCATTGCGGTAAAATCCAAGATGATTGATGAACATTGGAAACTTGACAAGAGGTCATTCAAAATGCCGACAGAGAATAAACACATAAAATAACACAAAATGCATTAATAATTGTATGCAAATTCATCTGATTGAAGGCTACATACTGCTAACACATCTGCAGATTTCACCACAAAAATGAAGTTTCAACAAAACAATTTATAACTTAATCTCTCAGGTGTTTAATGATGATGGTGCCCCCCTCCCTATATAACGGGCAAAAAAACAAACAAACCAGAGCAAGAAGAAACTATAGCGATTTTCAAAACACCCTTAATGAAACAACTCTTAAAATATTGGATACTTTACGAGGGCTTTCCCTTTTCAACCCCCACGAAGATCTTAACGCAAATTTTCATCTAAGATGGAATCTGCATAAGATGTTCCTTCGTAGGGCATAAATTAAGGTCACAAATTAACAACATAAACCTATAATAAAATTAAAAGAAAAAAAAAACTTTCAACTACATTTTGGGTTACCAGATTTTACTTTGGCAAGTCTACTAATTCTTATTTTATTTCATCTATTTTATTAATCTGTCCTAACTTGTATTACTCTTTTTAAACAAATGATGATCACTGTGTTATATCAAAAGATATCAACAAACTATTAGATGTAAAACACAATATTTATATCAGAATATGCCATTCTTCTACTTAACAAATCTATTTCAATCAAAATGTTGGCCTGAAGAAAGCATAAATTATGACTATCAGTCTCTCTATATGCTGACAAAATAGCTAGAAAGGATTAACATGGTAAGATTTTGGCCTTACCAGATACCATTAGGCTTCTCTGTTCAGAATGGTCTTTGTGAACTTTTCTTCCCAAAGATAGCCTCCCAAACCATAGGTGAGTAAGGACCTTTCTTATCCAAATGTTCTCGAATAGCCTTTTCATCAAGAGCAAAACCTCTCTTTCGCAAACTGCTCACAAGCTCTTCAGCTTCCTGAATGCCTTTCTCTTTACAATATAAATCTACAAGACCACTAAAAGTTTGCCCATTTGGCGAGTGCCCAGCATCCAACATCTCCATACTGAACTCTACAGCATCTTCCAACCTCTTCCCTTTGCATAAACCTTGAATCAGAACTGAGTAGCTAAATGCATTTGGCACAATCTCATTCTTCTGCATCTTCCTAAAAATTCTCTTTGCATCATCAAATTTTGCTGCTTTGCAGAAACCTTCGACAACCGCAGTGTAAATCACTACTTCAGGCATTGTTCGCTTCTCACGCATTAACCCAAACAGTTTCATTGCCTCTTGAACCAGGCCATCCTTGCAGAGGCCATCAAGCATGGCTACAGCATTGGGTATCAGTCCTGTCTCCTTCATCTTCTTAAATATTTGATCAGAATCTTCAGAGGGTGCTTCAGGCTCCGGAGAGTGTGTAGGCCCGGCAACTGGAATTTGGGTTGTCTTCTTCGTATCAGCTTCTTCTGAGTTCCCACCGCTGGAAAGAGCACCAAGTTTCAATTTTTGGAAAAGGCTTTCTCCAATTCGATCGCCTCCTTTCTCCTTATCGCCATTTTGTATTGATCCGCTACTCTTTGCTTCTCCCTTGACTCTATCAGCTGAGCCGGGCGATGCTTTCTGGCCGAAGAAATCTAAGCTTTCCCCATTAGTTTCATAAGCAGACTTGAGTTTTTGCTGGAATGGATCCGATCCTCGTCTTCTTTCTCCTGTCAAAGGTAATTTATTAGAACGGCCTCCACTCATCCTCGGCTGCTTGTTGTTAAAATCCGGGAAGAGATCTTCTTGAACGCCTTCCATTCTTCGTTCTCCGCGAAGAGGGCGGCCCGGAATTGGGGACGACGGCTTCGAATCGGCCTTATCTTCTTTCTCCAGTCTGCTTTCATCCCCAAAGTTAAGATCTTGGAGGAAGAATTCGTCCGAGCGGTTTCCCGGTCTCAGCTCGCCTCTTGAGGGTCGGTTAGATTCTGTACTGAAAAGAGCAAAAGAAAACGCCCGGATCAAATGCCTCGGTGAATAAGATAGATCCCTTGTGATAATAGAGGAGAGAAGACGAGCACTCCTAGTTTGCATGGTTGTGTCTTCGTAGAGGGATGGAAGGGATAATATGGCGTACAGCGGAGCAGGAGGAGCTCAGTCTCTGCGTTGGGCAAAAGGGAAGAAGGGTTTTGAGTTTAGGGTTTCTACTTCGTCGAGAGAAAATGGGAAAGAGAGATCTAAAAGTGGCTGTTTTGGCTGCAAGGAGGATTCAACTCTGAGCCACATTTAGTAAAGCCATAAGCTTTCAAATGCAAACAATATATATTTTTTAAAATTTATTTCAAATCTTGAATTTATTAATAGAATTAGAATTTAAATGATGATAATTGATGAATAATTTAAAATATATTATAAAAAATATAGTGAAGGCCAATGATAAATAATGTGATTATTATATTGACCATTGAAACATCTAGAAATAAAAGACATATAATGTCGTTCTTCTATTATCGTAAAAATGTGATGTTGACAATTAGCTTGATAGATGTTATTGAGCTATTTCCTATTATTATACTGATGCATTAGTTATTACTATAATATAATAAAATTATTTTGCACTTAATTAAGTTAATGTCTTATATGTTCTCAAATCTCGATCGCAATTGTTATGTCTCAATACATCTCCATGAATTCTCCACTAATTGTTGCATGCATGTTAGGGTCTTCCTCGTAGGCTACCGTCTTACCCAATTTGTTATCATGTTCCATTTTGATTTGACATAAGTTGAAAAAAATGACATAAGTCCATCAAGAAGTATCATACTCGAAAAACTTTCTATCAAGATTAGAATCTCAAACATGTAAGACATCATGATTGTAACACATGTTGAATTTGTGTATTGGTGCACCTACTCAAAATCGATCTAATAAAATAACTCAATAGATTTCTATGATTGAAACATTGTAGAAGTGTATGAAAATATTTTGTATGCATATGAATGTTTGAATCTAGTCTAAAGCAGGTCCCAAGGGTCTGTATGCATGTTTGAGTAATCTAAAATTTGTCTCAATGGGCATCGTGGAGAGAGGTTTCGCAGCACCCGATTTTGAGCTCTTAGCCAAAATAATTTGGGTGTTGCAGCATTGTGGCGTGCAAGTTTGGTATCATAGTGTCAGTCTCAAATTTTATATTAAAACATATATTTCCACTTTTGTAAATTCATTTTCTCCCTTAAGGTAGCCTGCTTGAGAGAGAGAGAGAGAGAGAATATTTCTAGTGAGAGAAAGCTAGGGTTTGGGAGACTCCGGTCCACTTTTTGATGTCTGCTTAGTTCTGAAAGTCGTCCGGCTCGAGGTTGATTACATTATGCATATCTCACTTTTCAAGAATACAAAATTTTCAAATTTTTCTAATTTAATTTATAATTATGTTAAGAAAAAATTGGGATAAATTTATGCCTGCAAAACTTTCATCTTCTATCTTTTTGTATGTTATATATACAATAGTTTTCAACATTTAGGTATTTTTCTAGAAAATTTTCATTGAGTAAATTGAAAATTGTGGGATTTTTGAAAATTTTGAAAATAATTCTAGTCTCCAAAATTAAGAATATAGTATAATAAAAGTTTCAAAATAGTGTTCTAAGAAATACTTAGTAATCTAATAATATTTTGGAATTATGACAATTCTACTTAGTAGATAATTTGGTTGTCTACCATTGAAGTATTCTATGAAAATTCAAAGCTAGTTTATTTACATTTAATTTATAAGATGCATATGATGGACGTATATATGAATGAGATAATATGCATAACAATTGGAGAAATAAATAAACAGATATGCTAAATAAGATAGGTGGGATTAATACTGATATGATTGATAAGACAAATGATAGATAACTGATAAAAACTTATAAAATTGGGAAAGATATAAACAGACATGTAATGAGTTTAAGAAAGTAATATGTGATGCTAAAAATTTAGCTTTTAATGATTACATAATATATTAGATATTAAGAAGGGAAAAAAGATGTTTATATAAGTTAGCCAAGCAAAAATATAATAGAAATAAGAATTTAGTTCAAATGAAGTGCATTAAGGATGAAAATAAAAAAGTACTTTATTAGAAGAGGATATTCAATAAAGGTGGATGAGATATTTTGATAAGTTGTTCAATGAAGATTGTGAGACTACGATTGACATTATGGACCTTAATACCCTAAATGAAAATAAAGATTTTGTTTTTATTGTCGTATTAGTAAAATTGAAGTTAGAGATGCTTTAAAGAAAATGTAGCGTAGAAAAGTTGTGATGATATTCCAATAAAGGCATGAAAAATGCTTAGGAGATGAATGAATTTCTTGATTACGAAACTTTTCGATATTATTTTGAAGACTAAAAGGATGCTAGATGAGTGGAGGAGTGTGTTGATTTCTATTTTTAAAAATAAAGGTGATGCACATGAGTGTTTGAATTATAGAGGAATTAAGTTAATGTGTCATACCTTAAAACTACGGGAGAGAGTTATTGAGCATGGATTATACTCAAAATCAATTTGGATTTATGTTGGGTAGGTCTACTATGGAAGCTATACATTTAATGAGAGGATTGGTGGATAAATATAGAGAGATTGAGGATCTATATATGATATTTATTGATTTAGAAAAAATGTATAAAAAAGTTTCGAGAGAAGTGTTATTGATAGTTCTAAAAAAGAAAGAGGTTAATGATGCTTATATTTAAGTCATTAAGGATATGCATGTAGGAGCCATTACTTGTCTTTAAACACAAGGTGGTTTGACCAAGTATTTTCCTATTTTAATTGGATTACATCAATAATCATCTTTAAGCCCCTATCTTTTGGCTTTAGTCATGAATGTTCTTACTAGACATTTGCAAGAGGATGTACCTTGGTGTATGCTTTTTTCTAATGATATTCTTCTTGTTTATTATGCTACAGAGAGAGAGAGAGAGAGAGAGAGAGAGAGAGAGAGAGAGAGAGAGTTGAAGGTAAACTTGAATTAACTAGGTAAACCTTAGAGTATAAAGGTTTTCATTTTAGTAGATTTAAAATTGAATGCATGGAGTATAATTATAGTAGTAATAGATCTAATCAAGGGATTGTGACTTTGGACAATCAAGTCATTAATAAGAGTACACATTTTAGATATCTCCAGTTTATTGATCTTAGTGATGGTGAAGTAGATGGGGATATTATTAATACAATTCAAGTTGGATGGTTGAAGTGGAGGAATGCATCGAGCCTGTTATGTGATAGAGAAGTACCCCTTTAACTTAATGAAAAATTCAATAAGATGGTGGCAAAACCTGCAATGCTTTATCGTGCAAAATGTTGGCCATTAAGGGGTTATTTAGTTGGCTTAATAGGAATGCGATGTAAAAGAAATCCAGTGTAAAAAGAATATAATGTAAAAGAAATACTTTTGAGTTATTTGGATGAGTGTAAAGTAAATTTGAGTGAATATTTTTTTGTTTGGTTTGAATTAAAATGAATGTAGTGTAAAGTTTAAAGATGGTGGTGATGATTGGTTGGCTGCGGTAAATGGTGGTGATCGACAGTGGCAGGAGGTGACGATCGATAATGATGGTGGTGCCCGACGAGTGGCGGTGAGTAGTAGTCGGAGGCAGGTTAAGGCGGTTAGTGGTGGTGACCGGAGGCAGGTGAGGCGGTTAGTAGTGGTGGTGGTGGCCAGTGGCGATTAAGCGAGCTTGCGTGCATTGTAAAGTGTTATCTCTCAAAAGTCAAAAGTAAACGAGTTTGGTTTACCTAAAAATGAACTAGAATGGTTTACACTACATTTACTTTAGTTTACTTTACATTTTTTTTCATGCAACCAAACACTAAAATTTTCAAAACCCCAATACTTTACAGAATCCAACCAAACAACTCCTAAAGAGAATCATAAGATTAAGTCAAGTGTTATAGAGATGAGAATGATTAGGTGGATAAGTGACTACTCATTTAGACATAATGTGAAAAAAAATATGTACATGAAAAGGTTATAAAACCTCCAGTTGCAAATAAGATTAGAGAGTCATCTTAGATGGTTTGGTTACATTAACATCACACTTCCAATGACAGGTTAGGAGCATAAATGTATTAAATTTGTCCTATGTTAAGAAAGGTAGATTTAAGCCTAAAAAGACTTAAATAGAAAAAAATTAGAAATGAAAATATTTTATTAAATGTAAATGAGAATTTAATTTTTAACCAGACACAATGATAAAAAAATTAAGAAAGATTCATGTAGCTAATCATATAGTGGGGTAAAAGCTTTATGTTGTTGTTGCAGTAGCTTCAATAAAATAATAAAAAAAAATTAAAAAAAAAAATCACCTAAATTTATTTATTTATTTATGTTTCCATGTGAAGCAAAACGGTGGACCCTGCGTCGTGCGAGTGCCAATCGACTGTTGGTGGGCTTCGTCGGGTGCAAACTTCTACCGATAAGGTCCGCGCCGGGAAAGGTAAGCCAATGATGGCGGCAGCGGCGGCGGCGAAGGGTGGTGCCGTTCTCCTCCCTGCCTCGGTCTTATCTGTTGGCTTACGACTTTTCCCCTCTTGTCGTTCCAATATTATTTCTCTCGTCACCGGTAGCAAGACTAGCCTCCACCGCCGCATTTCCATATTTACTTCCGGTCGTTCCTGCCACTCATTGTCGCCGGCCGCGGTTACGGGAGAAGCATCTTCCACAACTGTGGTGGTAGAATCCACCGATGAAGCTCCGAAGCTTGCGCATGATGACCCCGTGAAGGAAGCGGCTGACGTGCTTGACATCCGCGTGGGTCGAATCCTTAGGGCGTGGAGGCATCCTGAAGCTGATTCTCTCTACGTTGAGGAGGTGGACGTGGGAGAGACTGAGCCTCGCACTATATGTAGCGGCCTTGTTAACTACGTTCCCCTTGATCATCTTCAGGTCAACTTCTACCCGCTGATATTTTTTAAAACACCAATTGATTCCTACTGCGAGAATCCCATTTTTATGTTGTTTAATTTATTTCATGTAGAATGTAGAATAATGGTGATGACAATAGCTCGTTTCATTTCTTTTGTGACAGAGGAGGAAATTCCGTCAATATTAAACTGTATAAAGAAAGAGTTAGAGCAGTAGACGAGCTATGCTGTTAATTACATTGAAGAATTAAATTGGTGGAGTGCTAAATAAAGGTTGAACTTTTTATGATCATCTATTTCAAAGTTGTGAGTTGTCTGTGGTTGGACCAAATCCTGCCAGATCCTATAAGCTAACTGGATCTTCTTTTGTAGTTTTTAAGAATTTGATCATGGTTTGAACTTGTTTGATTAACGACGAACTAAGTCGGTTTTGATTCTAGAGTCTTGCCATGTTATATTTAGCTAAAAAGGCCCAGCCTATTGGTTTTTTATTTCCAACAAATAGAAGATCCTATGATTTAACAAAATTAAACAAAATTACAAATTTCAATGATTTATGTTTGATCATTTAATAGAACGGTAAATGCAATTTTAAGTTGACATGCACACACAATGTTCATATCAAAATATGAATCTTTATTGCCCTGATCAGGTGAATCATACCCCTCTAATGCGTGCCAAGTAATGTTACTCCCCAAGTCTAGAAGGTCGTATACCCCGGCAACACAGGATTCAATGAAGGGATAAAAATATCTATTTTGTACTCACAAAAGAGGAAATTGCATAAACCAGTAATATCACCAATTATATCAGAGTAAGTACTAAAAGAGAAACTAAATATTCATTTCATTAATAGGAATTCACATAATAATACACCAAAGTAATGGTGTCGGTACAAACAAAAGAAATATAAATTGAGCAAATAACAAAAAAGAAGCTACCCACCCCACATAGCATATAAATAATAATCTACTACAAAATATGAAATACCAAAATAATATACTGCTAATAAATATGCTCCTAAGGTGACGGTCCGCTAAATACACCGGCAGAACGTGCTGTAAAAAGAGACAATGGGTGAGTATGATAAATCAAATTCAGCAAGTAACTCCTATCTATCAAAACATAAACAATAAAGGAATGAGGCATATAGTATGAAAACCAAAATGTGGAAGTAGTAACATGTTGTCACTAAATCAAAATAGCCATGAGATATGCTATGCTTTATAATATAGATTTTAATATGTAATGCAACCAATGCATATATCAAACTGTTACACACATAATATCATTATAATGTAATCATGCTTGGTATCATCAAACACTTGAATGATTTATCAGTCATTTATGTTTTTTAGTAGTCTGTCTATCAAATACCTATCACCGGGAAGATAAACACCAACCCAAGGAAATTCAGTGATTTTCTATAGAGTTGTCACACTGTGGATTCATCAGCCTGGCTAGCCAAAATCCAATAGGTTTCTACTGACATATACTTTAATGCACCCAAGCATATCGTTTCCAAAATTTTTAGAATCGCTTTTTGATAGGTTTTTCTAGTTTCAATATGACGAATGCTATTTCATAATAAGATATGACTTGTCAATATAACATTTATTGCATTCAATAATAGCATGTGCATGAAATACAATAATTGATATGCAAGAGTTTATGCATCAATAAATCAAGAATAATTTATTTATGAAACTTGCTAGTTCATTATGAGCATGTACGTAAAATAAAAGAATCAACAATAATAAGACTATATGTTTAATAAGTTATCAATTTCTATTTCCAATAATACGAATATATGTCTTTAACAAGGAAGGATACATTTATACTAAAATAAATAACAGTTACTTACCTCTACGCAAAAGACCTCAATCTTCAAACCAACTAGACGTTGACCCGGCAAAGCCTAGAGGACAAAAAATTAAAATTCTTACAAATAAGAAATCCTAATTTAATATTCAAACTAATACTAAAAAAACTCCAATACATGAACACAAAACTTACACGCTCATCCTAAATTTTATTAATCAAACTTGCAGGACATATGCCCTAAAGCAAAGAAATCGAAAGTATCCAAGTAATATAGAATTCCCAAAATTTAAGAATTAAATCGCAATATAAAAGAGGACACACACAAGGATAAAAGTACAAATTTAATGTAAGTATAGTTAATCAAGATCTAATATTGCTACTCCAAACTAAACATCCAAATAATAATAATAGTAAAAATAATAAGAACAAGAGTAATAATCACTTACTCTCGTTACTTAGCCTCGATCGATGGGGAAGGAAGGAGGAGAAAGACTCAAACTCGATCTAAGAGAAAGAATGAAGTAAGAAGGGAACACTTCTCTAACAACGACATCGATTCAGGAAAAACCACCATGAGGAAGAGAGAAAAGAGAAAATAATTGAATTTAGTAGCTTCCGTGGAGCGAAAGAAAGGAAGAGAAAGGAGAAGGGAGGATTTTCAGCTACTGCTATAATAGAGGAGGAAGGAATTTTGATGCCCTAGGCTTTTCTTTCACCTCAAATGGTGAGAGAGAGAAAGAGCTCGGGGCGGGAAAATCAAAAGGAGCGGGATGAATCGTGAAATTTATAGAATTTGGACAAGGAATTGTGGCTTGGTCACGATCCCAAGCAAAGGGAAGGGACTCGTGTGTGGCGATTTCATTCGCGTGCATGAAGGGGAGCGGGGCTAGCTCAACCGGTTTGCGTGAAAAATGTATGGACTTGTCGGTCCAAGCTCTGATATTGCAAGTCATTCATTTTTTGCAAGCAATGATCGAAGTCTATGCCTAATTAGGTAGAATGTCTTGTGCAGTGAGTTTGGACCTGCCCTTAATTCAGAATGTATCCCTTCCAATCAAGACTTAGGGCTGTACAATCATTAGATAACATGTCTTTCATATATTTTTTCATTCATGATTTGATATTTTGTGGTCTTCTGAAAAAAAAAAATTGCTTGTTGGAAGAATAATAAACCGCCAAACAAAAAAAGCTCATCCCTAAACTAATAAAAAGCTCAACACCTCTTTTTTTTTTTTTTCATATTTCAAAGGCACTCAAAAGGGGATGCAGGTTTCTCTAGTCCAAGTTTCTGAACAAGATTCTGCCATTAGAATTGATCTGAATCATAGAGTCTGATCCGCTTCGTTTGGATTCTGTCATATTCGGGCCTAGTTATGTACACCTAATCTAATGAATACTTTCTCTGAAAACAAGTTTAAGGATTATTTTTTAACGTTGCTTGATTGTTTGAAAGTTCATTGATGACCTAATCCTATCATCTATTTTACTATTTAGTTGCTTTATAGCTTTTGGTGATAAATCCCAGTATTCATCTTTTATTCAAAGCCTTTCTTTTTTCCATAGCTTAAAAGAGCTTATCTTCTCGAAAATTAGGTATAGATGATTTAAGCTTATATTCATGCTGACTTAACCAGATTTATTTGGAAGGTAAGCAGTTTTTTTTTTTAATTAAGGTGATGTAAATGCACCTTATTGATATGCAGGACATTAGAGTAGTTGTTCTGGCAAATCTCAAACCCAGGAACATGCGTGGCATTAAGTCAAATGGAATGTTAATGGCTGCTTCTGATGCACCTCATGTGACAGTAGAGCTCCTTTTACCACCTGAAGATTCTGTTCCTGGTGAAAGAATTTGGTTTGGTTCTGAAGAGGACAAAGACAAACAACCTGATGCTGCTACACCTAATCAGGTCTTGTTCTTGAAATAACTACTACCTTTCATTTTATCTTTATCTCATATGAATTCTTATTCCTTATACTTGATGTTTATCACATCCGACTGGTAATAATATATTTCTTCAAGGTTTGTTATTTTTAAATTATTTATGAAAGGATCATAATGTATTAGAAACCTTAACCTTTGCTTTGTTTATTCATATTTATATTGTACTATACTCTATCATATGCGTAATTGATGTGAGTGTATTTGTTGGGCATGGTACTGATTTTAATTGTTTTTGTATGCAGTTACTCAATTCTTCTTTTTTTTTTAAGGCTAGAAGATAAGGAGAGGGTTGTGCTATCTTACCTTCTTTAATTAATAAATGTTCAAGGCTTAGGCTTATATTGGGAAATAGTGATTGGTGTTCTAGGATGAATTTTGGGCCTCATATCGTTACATGTACTAGTACTCATTTTAGAATATGCTGATAGAAAATAATTGCAAAAATTGAAAGAATCTTGGTTGAAATTTGAAATTTCAGCAAGATAAAATAGAAATTGAGATTAATTTGATTGCAAAATACTAGAGAAATGGGATAATTGATGAAAGATGGAAGAAAACAAACAAGATATAGTGGATCTTAAATTCGAGAGGAAGATCCACTCTCCAAATCCCTAGCTGGCGGCTAGAGCCCGAACAAACCTTAAGAGAAAACCAAATTCAATAATACATAACCTAACCCTAGCCCTAGGGAGAAAAATCTACTTAAAGCTAAACACAATCCTCTAATCCCTAAACAACCTTTTACTTTGAATTTTTCCTCCCAAACCCATCCTTAATTAATGCTTAATTGACTGCGAGGCTAGCGCTATAAACAAACCGAGCCGAGCTGAGTATGTGTTTGCTCATGTTTGAGCTCGTTTGTTTAGGGCTTGTTCAATCGAGCTTTTTCGTTTAAGTTCAAGCTTGTTCATTTAAAATGAAGGATGTTTAAGTTTGATTCGTGTTCAGTTCATGTTCGATTCCTTTTATGCTTATTGGTCCTATAAACGAGCCTTTAAACGAGCAAGATTATCGATCCTTTAAATAACAAGTTTCTCGAGCCCATAAACGAGCAAGCTTGTTGAGCCCATAAACAAGCAAGTTTATCGAGCCCATAAATGAGTAGTTTGTTAAGCTAATAAACGATACTTTTAATGAACGGTCTTGTTAATAAACACTGAAATCTAATAATTTATCAAACATGAACAAGAACATCTTGTTCATGAACATACCTATCAAACTGTTTGATAATGTCTTAAACATGACCAAGATTGTTGTTCATGAACATACCTACTAGCCTATTGGTTTATCTAGTTATTAAACAATAAAAAATAAATGACACTAGTTTAATTTCATGAAATTTTCCTATTTAAGCTTTTTTTTTTCTCTTAGTTATATTCTTTAAATGCTTCAACATGAACTTAACAATCAAGAGTTTAGAAGAAAAAAATTCGTAACAGCAAAAAGCCAAGGCTAATAAATAAGAGCATGTATGTTTAAAACAAACCGTGATTAACAAATTCTGAAGGATTGCATCCTTCGTTGCGACTAAACCGTGATTAACGATGATGTGGAAAGTCATCATATCACATTAACTAATATTTAAGTTTGCTTATTTATATGTAAAACTTTTAAAATTTTGTTCAAATTTATTCATTTATTTAAAATAGTAAAAAATAAACGAAAAGATGTTATATGAACTAGTATTAAATTGCACAAACCTAATTCTCATCATTTAACTGAGCATGTCCTCCAATATCTTCATAACCCGACCTCTCACATTTCACCTTGATGAATTCCCTTTCAAGAATGTAGCACTGGAGTCAGTTTTAAACCTCAACAAGGATGTTCTTTGCACACTGTAACATATCTTTTTCAAGACTAACCTTACATTGTCGTATTATACTGTTCAACCTACGACATTAATAAGAAAGTCATGATCAATCTTGTTGATTGTGTTACTCTTTCCATAAGAGTTCCATGTAATATTAAAGTTGATTGGTCAAAAGGATTTATGTAGTTTTTCAAGTATTAATAGTAGCCATATAACAATCGTATTATTAATTGGAGTAAATAATCAAAATAATCTTTAGATTTTTTAAATGTATTTATTATAGTTTCAAAAATTTTAAGGTGTTTAGTTTAGAATTTGTTTGTGATGGCTTTTTTAGTGCTTTGTAAAGCTATCTTTTAGTATAAAAATCTCTTGAAAACAGGAAAAAAGCAATGGTTTAAAGTTGTCTCAGATGAAGCCTTAATGTCTAAACTCTCCAAAGCTGAACCAATTCGATCGTATTGTCAACTTTGTTATTTTGATTGAGCGGAATTTAGTGGAGGAAAGCTTTGGAATACACTAACATACTGATTCAAAAAAAAAACTAAGTGTGACATCATGTGAGAATAACAGTATTACAAAAATAGACACTAGTAATATTAGAACATACAAATAGAAGTTTAAATCAAGAAGAAATAGTTCAAGACTAATACAAACAAATCTACCAGTTCAAACTTATGAAACCCTAAAAATTTTGAAGTATCTTCATGAAAATCTTTGCAAAGGACCAAAATGAATAGCTAGAAAGTCCAAGACTAACTTCCAGTTAGTTGATGAACTGAATTGAACACCTGAAAAAACTTTGGATGAAAATGAACCCAACTAAAAAGTCTTGCGAGTATTTTTGATAATTTACTCTTATTTATTGAATTCAATCCTCACCAAGCTTCATGATTACTGATAAACTTATGTGCACTTAGATTCAAAAGAAAAAGATATGGGAATTGATCCAACCTCATCTCAAAACTACAGATGAATGTGTGGCTGTTTTAGGAGTTCATCCCATGAGGACTTCAGCTGGGTTGATTACTTGCAGATCTCTGAAGAATGCAAACATTTCCTGATTGGATTGCCCTCATCCAATTCTGTTTCATTTCTTTCAAAGCCTTGCAGTCCTGATTAAAATGCTTTTATACTGCAATGTAAGTAACAGATGACGATGATTATTATTATTATTTTTTATGAATTGGGTAAAGTTTTTTATCTTGGTCAATCATTAAGTGTTTAATGGTGGCTGTGAATTACTCAATTGAATTTTTAAATCTACTTTATGTGCCAATTCTGCTGTAAACATAAATGAGCAAGCTTATTGAGCCCATAAACAAGCAAGCTTATCGAGCCCATAAATGAGTAGTTTGTTAAGCTTATAAACGATACTTTTAATGAACGGTCATGTTAATAAACACTGAAATCTAATAATTTATCAAACATGAACAAGTACATCTTGTTCATGAACATACCTATCAAACTGTTTGATTATGTCTAAAACATGACCAAGATTGTTGTTCATGAACATACCTACTAGCCTATTGGTTTAGCTAGTTATTAAACAATAAAATATAAATGACATTAGTTTAATTTCATGAAAATTTTCTATTTAAGCTTTCTTTTTTTTTTCTTTTAATTATCATCTTTAAATGCTTCAACATGAACTTAACAATCAAGAGCTTAAAAGAAAAAAAATTCTTAACAGCAAAAAGCCAAGGCAAAATAGTTGGAAAAAGATTAACGATGATGTGGAAAGTCATCATATCACATTAACTAATAAATAAGAGCATGTATGTTTAAAACAAACTGTGATTAACAAATTCTGAAGGGTTGCATGCTTTGTTGCGACTAAACCGTGATTAACGATGATGTGGAAAGTCATCATATCACATTAACTAATATTTAAGTTTGCTTATTTATATGTAGAACTTTTAAAATTTTGTTCAAAGTTATTCATTTATTTAGAATAGTTAAAAATAAACGAAGAGATGTTATATGAACTAGTATTAAATTGCACAAACCTAATTCTCATAATTTAACTGAGCATGTCGTCCAATATCTTACAAAAAAAAAAAAAAAAAAAATGTCGTCCAATGTCTTCATAACCCGGCCTCTCCCATTTCACCTTGATGAATGCCCTTTCAAGAATGTAGCACTGGAGTCAGTTTTAAACTTCAACAAGGCTGTTCTTTGCCCATTGTAATTTCAAGATTAATCTTACATTGTCGTGTTATATTGTTCAACCTACAATATTAATAAGAAAGTCATGATCTATCTTGTTGATTGTGTTTCTCTTTCCATGAGAGTTCCATGTAATATTAAAGTTGATTGGTCAAAATGATTTATGTAGTTCTTCAAGTATTAAAAAAAAAAAAAAAAAGTAGTTCTTCAAGTATTAATTGTAACCATATAGCAATAGCATTATTAATTGGAGTAAATAATCAAAATAATCTCTAGATTTTTTAAATGTGTTTATTTTAGTTTCAAAAATTTTAAGGTGTTTAGTTTAGAATTTGTTTGTGATGGTTTTTTTAGTGCTTTTCAAAGCTATCTTTTAGTATAAAAATATCTTGAAAGCAAGAAAAAATAGTAGTGTAAAGCCGAATCTACACCAAATGAAGCCTTAGACTTTGTTTGAGACGGCTTTTTTATTGCCTCTTAAAGCAGTTTTCTAGCACAAAAAATTTATTTTTTTACTAAAAAGCTACTTTAAAAACAATAATAAAGTCGTTCCAAATGAATCCTTAATCTCTCAACTCACCAAAACATGAACCATCCTATTGTCAACTTTGTTATTTTGATTGAGCAGAATTTAGTGGAGGAAAGCTTTGGAGTACACTTAACATACTGATTAAAAAAAAACTAAGTGTGACATCATGTGAGAATAAGAGTATGACAAAAATAGAACATACAAATAGAAGTTGAAAAATCAAGAAGAACTAGTTCAAGACTACTACAAACAAATCTACCAGTTCAAACTTATGAAACCCTAAAAATTTTGAACTATCCTCATGAAAATCTTTGCAAAGGACCAAAATGAATAGCTAGAAAGTCCAAGACTAACTTCCAGTTAGTTGATGAACTGAATTGAACACCTGAAAAAACTTTGGATGAAAATGAACCCAACTAAAAAGTCTTGCGAGTTTTTTTGATAATTTACTCTTATTTATTGAATTCAATCCTCACCAAGCTTCATGATTACTGATAAACTTATGTGCACTTAGGTTCAAAAGAAAAAGATATGGGAATTGGTCCAACCTCATCTCAAAACTACAGATGAATGTGTGGCTGTTTTAGGAGTTCATCCCATGAGGACTTCAGCTGGGTTGATTACTTGCAGATCTCTGAAGAATGCAAACATTTCCTGATTGGATTGCCCTCATCCAATTCTGTTTCATTTCTTTCAAAGCCTTGCAGTCCTGATTAAAATGCTTTTATACTGCAATGTAAGTAACAGATGACGATGATTATTATTATTATTTTTTATGAATTGGGTAAAGTTTTTTATCTTGGTCAATCATTAAGTGTTTAATGGTGGCTGTGAATTACTCAATTGAATTTTTAAATCTACTTTATGTGCCAATTCTGCTGTAAACATCCCTGTTGTAAATTAATTTATTATATTGTCTGATATAGTGGAGAGGCTCCAGCATTAGAATCTTTACAGGTATTTACTAATGTATGCTCCCTCTTTTTATAATGCTAAAAGTTGCCTTGGAACATAGCCATATAACTTTATGATTTTTTTTATTATGAATTATTGATTAAAATCATACTAAATGATTTGAGAATAAAATCTGAAGGTTTTATAAAATAATACTATAAGCCTTAAGCCTGTATCTTTTTGCTTTAGTCATAGATGTTCTCACTAGACATTTGCAAGAAGTTGTACCATGGTGTATGCTTTTTTCTGATGATATTCTTCTTGTTGAGGTAAAAATAATAATAATAAATCTTCTTGTTGATAAGACTAGAGAGAGAGTTGAAGGTAAACTTGAATTATGGAGGTCAACGTTAGAGTCTAAAGGCTTTCGTTTGAGTAGATCTAAAGCTGAATACATGGAGTGTAATTTTAGTAATAATAGTTTTTGTGTGGGGATTGTGACTTTGGGTGATCAAGTCATTAATAAGAATACACGTTTTAAATATTTTGTGTTTATTGTTCAATGTGATGGTGATATTATTAGTAGAATTCAAGTTGGAAAGTTGAAGTGGTCGAATGCATCGGGCTTGTCCTGTGATAAAAAAGTACTCCTCAAACTTAAGGGAAAATTCTATAAGATGGTGGTTAGACCTGCAATGCTTTATGGTGCAGAATGTTCGCCATTAAAAGAGAAGCATAATATTAAGTTAAGTGTAATATAGATAAGGATGTACAGGTGGATGAGTGGCTTTACTCTTAGAGACAGGATATGAAATGATCCTATACGTGAAAAGGTTGGAGTAGTTCCAGTGGAAGATAAAGATTAGAGAGAGTCGCTTTAGATGATTTGGTCACATAAAATAACAGCATTCTGATGACCCGATTAGAAAAGTAGATGTATTAGATTTGACTTATGTTAAGAAAGACAGAGGTAAACCTAAAAAGACATGGTTAGAAAATATTAGAAATGATCTTTCTTTATTAGATTTAAATGAGAATTTAACGTTTATAGGGCGCAATGGAGATAAAAGATTCATATAGTCGACTCTACATAGTGGGATAAAGGCTTGATGTTGTTGTTGTTTATAAAATAATACTACAATAACAAATTAGCTATTCACATTGCACAAAATTTAATTCAATATGATTGAAAAAAATAATCAAAATTGTTTGGCATTTTATCAAAGAAAAATTAGAAATTTGATTGATATTATGCACAAAAATAACTTGTTAAAATTCTAACTAAAGGATTGGGGGGCTCTGTCTTTTAGTATAACACATTCACATTAAGCAGAAAAATATCTACTCTATGATTTGAGGAGGGTTATCAAAATTTTCAACTAGTGGATAGATGTGGGCCTTGGATTCCCAATATAAGGGAATTTCACTAGATTGCAAGTTATACTTATTCCTTTATTCTCATGTGAATATCAATGGAAATAATGTTGATATTTTGCATATTATATTTGATATATATAGGGGTGTCAATTTTGGGTCACGAGTCAGGTTCGGGTCGAATCCGAAATTGACCCGGCACTATTCGGGTCAACCCGAACCCGACCCATTTTTGCAAACGGGTCAATTTTTTTGGACCCGAACTCGACCCGCTTCAAGTCTGGGTCAACCCGACACGACCCGAATGATCTGGGGCAGTGAAAAAAATGCTAGTTTCTGGGTAAAAAATGGGTCAATCAATCTCTATTTTTCGGGTAAAAAATTTGTCGATAACATGTCAATTTCAGGTTTCCGGGTCAAAACGGGTTTTCGGGTTTAAAGATGGGTCAATTTCAGGTCAAAGGGTCAACCCAAACCCAGTCCGATTTTTAAAACGAGTTGAATTATTGAACCCGAACCCGATTTGTTTCGAGTCTGGGTTGACCCTAAACCAGAATTTTGGAGTCTGGTTTTCGGGCTGTGTCAAATATTGACACATATGGATATATTATTAACAATTGGCTTATAATATGGCACGAATTTAGATGCACATCCGAATCGTAAACTTCTAAAATTAATTTCAAGACCATCCATACTTTGTCAAACCGTCGTCTAACTGCGACCATCAGACCTCGTGGCTTGATCGCTACTTTTAGACCGCCATCGTTTGACCATTATCATTCAACTATTGTTGTTTGGCCGCTACATCACCAGACCACAATCATTAAATCACTCCCGCCCAATCCCTACTTATATATTGCCAGCACGTAATCACCATTATTTGGTCACCTCCACCCGACTGTTACTGTTGGATTGTGGTCATTGAGTCACAATTGTCCAAGCATCATTCACCCCACAATAACTCCACAATATTTTTTACCAGCTCCATGTACTCGGGTAAATTTGCCGGCTCTAAATTAAGGGATGGACAAACCTTTATAACCAACTCTTATACAGTGAAATCATTTCAACTAGGCAAGGCCAAACAATTTTTCCCATTTTTGAGTTTTTCACGTAAACTGATGTGTCATCTGTGTTATTCATTTATCAGTTTGTCGCAAATTTTCTAACTCTCAACAATCATAATAATAATTATCAATAGATCATTATGTAACTAGCTGCCTTCAAATGAGGAATTCTTTAGTATAATGTAGTATTTTAAACAAGGGTGCATGATTATCAATGAGACAAAAATTCAAACATGGGTGCTGATTATCAATAAGTTGCTCTTATGCTAGCAATCCAACAACTTCATTTAACGACCTTGATGAATCCTATTTGGATTCATTTAGGTTTCGATTGGGACGGCTTTTTTCTTACTTCTTAAAACGGCTTTTTAGTACAAAAGTTAAAATTTTGATATTAGAAAGCCGTTTTAAGAAGCAGTAAAAAAGCCTTCACAAACAAAGCCTTATGCTCATTTGGGGCAACTTTCTTATCGCTTTCTAATATTTTGTGAGTGATTAAGGCTTTATTTGGGACAACTTTTTTACCACTTTTTAGTACACAAAATTCTTAAAATATAAACTTTTACTCTAAAAGCTATTTTAAAAGGCAAAAAGAAAGCTATCCCAAGTGAAGCCTAAAGCAGTTTTTTATTTAAAAAATTTCTTTAACGAGAATTTTGTGTACTAAAAAGTGGTAAAAAAGTTGTCCCAAATAAAGCCTTAATCACTCACAAAATATTAGAAAGTGATAAGAAAGTTGCCCCAAATGAGCATAAGGCTTTGTTTGTGAAGGCTTTTTTACTGCTTCTTAAAACGGCTTTCTAATAAAGAAATTTTTTAAATAAAAAACTGCTTTAGGCTTCTAAGGCTTTATGCTAAAATGCTGCTTTAGAAAAAAATAAGAAGGCAATCCCAAATGAAGACTTATGCTTCGTTTGTGATAACTTTCTTGCTGCTTCTTAAAGCAGCTTTTTAGTACAAAAAATTTATTTATTTTACTAGAAAGCTACTTTAAGAAGCAGCAAAAAAGCCGTCCAAAAAGAAGCCTTAATCACTCATTATCGCTAGCTTACATCATCATTTGAAGAGAAATGTGACATAATACTCTCCTCCCTCTCCTAAATGATCAATTCTCTCTCTCTCTCTCTCTCTCTCTCTCTCTCTCTCTCTCTCCTTATTTCTATACATTTATCACTATTTTGAGCTGTAAGTTTCACTCTCTCTAACTTACTAATATTGGGGAGAATGAAAATGGGAAGATATTTCATCCTGAATGTAAGTGATATTTTTTAATATTATATGCCTATCATTTTATTTATATACATAATATTATGCTATTTATATATCTAATGTCTAAAATTTTAATATTATATGTCTATCACTTATAAAACAAATACGAGTGCATGAAATGAAATGTTAAATTTAAATGTGGGTGATAAGAATAAAATATAAGAATGATATATTTGATATTAAAATTTATATGAGTGGTAGGAATGTAATATTAAAATTTTGGGTGTTAGATATGTAAATATCATAAATAAAGTGATATATATGTAAATCATCCTATTTTTATATGTTATTTAAAATTTGAGGGGTAAAAAAGTAAATAAAAACAATTGTGTTAGATCTATAGCTAAAAAAGATTTGACTGTTATGACTTATGAGTGTGAATCTGTTAAAGGTTTTTAGAAAATCATATAAGATATCAAAATTTAAATATATAAATAAAAATTAAATACCGCTAAAAGGAATTTAATTTCTTCGGTCGTGGCTGAGGTTCAGCGGCTCCGTTTCCTCTTTTGGCTATGTCTTCGCGTCTTTCTCTTCTCAGTCTTCGCTCTGTAGCATCCTTTCTTATATCGGCCGCATCTCTTCATAGTTTCTTTACCTTCTGCCATGTAAAGATCGAGGAATGGGGCTATACGAAGAGCCAGACTCTAATTTGGAGAGCCAGCTTGGTTTCGAATCACCCTCCTTCTTTGCTGCGGCGGAGAAGGACATCAACCATGGGATTGATGCCCTAAAGCTTGAAGGGAATTCGCGAATGGGGCTTCCGGCGGCAGGCGATGCCGACGTTGATTTGGGCGAGGGAGTTAAGTACCCGATTCGGCTTTCCGAGCCCGACTGCGCTTTCTACCTCAGGACTGGATGCTGCAAGTTTGGGTTTTGCTGTCGGTTCAACCACCCTCGGGAGAAAAGGGTGGTTCAGGTTGCTTCTTTTTCTCTTTTTTATCTTTTGGGATTTTTGAATTTTTATTATCGCCTGCATTTTTGTTTGAATTTGAGATATGTTTTGGGTTCTTTGCAGGGCTGGAATAGAATTTCGACGAAGGAATTCAAGGTGAGGTTTTGCTTTTTTTTGAACTTTTTAATGCAGGATTGGGTGATTTGAAGGGGGTTCCAGTTTTGAAGTTGTGGTTTTGCATGTAATGTGCTATGCTGTATTGCATGATATATTTTTATAGAAGCTTTTGTTTGAAGTCTTCTGATTTGATCAAAATGGAGAACAGGCTTCTAATCTTATCCTGGAATTTCCTCAACTACTGTTTTTGCTCATGCTGGCATTTTCTTTCATTATATCCTCGTGTAAAATGCTAATCTGTAGCATTTAGTGATTACAAAGATCAGTATTGCATGATGAATCTTAATTTTGTTTTTTTATTTGTTTGTAATGATTTTTTTTTAAACATGCAATTTGAGAACACAGAGCCACTAAATAATCAATATATAGAAATGAAACATAAACCATTATCTAACACGAATATATATACATACATCATGATTGTTTACATCCAAAATATCTATATACAATAATCACGGCTTCTCAATATATTTAACAAAATACATTTATCCATGATTACAAAAAATTATCTATGATAGTAAAAGGGTACCTCTAATAGCAAAACCACAATCTCACTCTATTGGGCCCTTACCCTTACCTGAAATATGTAAATATAATGAAATATAAAAAAACAACCCAATTGGTTAAAAGAAACCTACAACTACATTCAATGTAAGGAAATAGAACAATATGTATGATATTAGTTATTAGATCATGAAAATTAAGAAAGTGTTGAATAAGTTAATTTCTACCCTACTCATGTTAGTCATGTATGTGTATGATTTATAGTACAATTATGATCAAGATTATCATTTTAAAATCATACACTGTGGGGTATCAATCATATCAAAATTATTCTAAGTAATTTATATCATCATATATATAAATAAGCAAGATAGGAATTGATACGTCATGCAAAAATTATCTTGATCGGGCACGAATCTCAAGGCAAAAGCTAGTTGAAAACTTCAAAAATTAATTTTGGGAGCACCCGAACTCCGATTTCAGTGAGCTTTATTCCTGGACGCAACAGGAATTATGACTACTCATGTCATATCATATGGTGTTTTTGGTGTACCAATCATGGTAAATTAGCTATAGTGTTATATCATATCATATACGTAAGAATAGTCAGGTGACATAGTACATGGGAGTTGCATCCCCCAACCCGTAGACATTCAAAATCATATCACATTCATTTATATGTCTCATCACGTATTGAGTTTACACAATTAACCCATATTTATAGAAAAAGTTCATTGGTCCACCCTCCTGCGCATAATATCATATATCTACTATCCTGAATTATATAGTAGCCAATATTTTTTGCATACACAGATTTAATATCATGCATAACATTGTAAGCATTTAATATCATGCTCAATACTCAGCTTATTGTATCATTTCAAGTGCATATAAAATTTACATATGCATAAATACAGTGAAATTTATAGGATCATTCAGTATGTTCATTTCTACATATATAACTACAACAAAATGAAATATTATATCATATATGCATGTCATCCGTCTGCTATATATCTGATGTGATTAATATTTATTAATTTTTTAGTTTATTTATCTTACTCAACTCAAGAAATATGCTTCAAAATATAGAAATACACGGTGAAAATTTAATATGATCATGCCAACATGTGCAAAATGCATAGAACTATAACATATTAAAAGTTGCATGGTAAAAGTTTGTTAAAAATTGATATATTGAATTTTTTATAAATTCTAACTAAATTAAAATATAAAATAAGAAAATAAATTTTTTTAAAAAAATTTTATAAAATAAGAAAATCATTAAAATTAGAGTAGGGTAACAATAACTTACCTCAAAAAGAACAATTTTGCTACTAGCTCGTCTGACGAAAATGGCTCTAAGATATCAAAATCCTTGCTTTATCTCTCCCCACTCTCTTTTTCTTTCTAATCACCCCTTCTCCTTAATGTTTGAGAAAGGATGAAAATGAAATAGCAAAGTGAATTTCTTTAGTGGGATGAGATATTTAAGGAAAAAGGCCAAGGGTAGATTTGTAATTATACCAATTGATTAATTTTAAGCACAAAATTTATATAAATCTTTTTATATCTACAAATTCAAAGCGCACAAGTTCAATCAGTTTGTAAAATAGAGACCAGACGGTTTCAAAAAGCTCACTTATATTGATATATATCAATTTCTTAAAGTTGAATTAGAAACTTTTTGTTTTCATATTTAGAATGCTCTTAAAATAAAAAAAAAAAATTCTAATTAGAGTACAACATTATTTATGGTCGGACAAAGATGCTTTGCAAATCAGACTTATAGTGACTCTAGAAATATTATTTGAAAGTTATGGGTCAAAATATTCCTTATAGAATTTTATGGGTTCGTACCTTTGTTTCTTTATCAAACATTTTTATAATCTTTCAAAAACTAAAATAACTTTGAAAATATATTTTAATAGATTTTTTTGAGCATCATATCAATTAATTTATATAAATATTTTTAAAAATAATACACGAATGAGAATCTCGTGGTTGTGTCATCATCAAAATTGAACTTGCGGGCATTATAGCCATGTAGTTTGTTAAGAATTTAACATTGCCTTTGGGACTATTGGGGCAGAAAAATTTTATTAGTGAGCACGTTGATCGAGCAATTTTATTCTGGTATTCTTGCATCATTTGAGTTGATACTCACAACTGTTGTATTTGGGAAACTTTGAGATGCCTATGGTTGTGTTTTGTAATTTTTTATTTTGTTCTGCTGATAGTGATAGGTACTGCTTGATTCCTCCCCCCCCCCCCCCCCCAAAAAAAAAAAAAAAGTTTAACGTTTCTAAAATAAGTATAAACTTGTCTAACTTGCCTAATTTGATATACTACATGGCATATTGTTATTGATTGCCTTTCCTTACATTTCTATTTTGTTTATAGATTATCAAAGAAAGGGATAAAGGCTTTCCGAAAGTATATAGCTTTGTTTATTATGAGATTCATGCCATGTTAAGTACAGTAGATTGTATGTCTTAAAACTTTGTGAAGATTATCTTTACACTTCATTAATCAGTATCTACAAGCTGCAGTATTGTGGCATTATATTCGATCAATTTAAATTACTCAACTTCAAGAAGGCTTGTTCTTGAATGCCATCATAAATTGACGGCTTTTATGACCATATAATTTGTGAAAATTTCTGCATGAACTCTTTCAGTTAAAAATTTCAACTTAGTTTATCTTATGTATTACTACAGAAAGTGTGTCATTCAATATTGAAATTCTATTTGCAAAATAACTAAGCCAACCTTGTGCTTTACCTGTATATGAAATACAAAATCATGCAAAATATCTTTTCATCATTATTTAAGATGTTTAAAATTATGTTAATCATCGTGGTGTCAAACTTATCAGTCATGCAATGAAATTGTGCCATGAATTGAAAGAGCAATGGAGCTGATTCTCATTTAATGAGAGAAAACAAAATGTTTTACCTGAAAAATAAAGTTGGTACATGTGGTTTGTTTACAGCTAGAGAAGGCATAATCTGTATGTAAGGATGAACTTTTTTCATCCTACTAAAAGAAAATTTTCTCCATTTATTTAAATCTTGATGTTATGACTATCAATTGCAAGATCAAAATTAGCCATTCTCAATTGCATTCTTAAAATTAGTTTCATGTATAAGTTCAATATATTTTGAGATCATTTGGATGTATCAATAGTTTTGTAATGGATGGTTTTGATTGCATGAAATGGTAATTCTGATTTCAAATTGTACCAACTTTCAAATGTGTTTGTGTCAAGTACATGGGTGGTTGATGATATTTATCCTCTTTTTTAAATTTGACTTTATATAATTTTAAACTCAAAAATTTCTACTGTGATGTTGGTAGACGATTTAATTTTGAGTCTTCCAACCATATTGTTTGTTATCGTCCACATGTATCTGCTAGAGGAGAATTTACTTGATCTCTATTTCTAAGCTGTAGCTTTGCTTGGACTGTCTTAACAAATAATGTTAACTGCGGCCACTGTTCTGCAAAACACATTCTTAATTGAAGATTTCATAGGTGTGGGTATTAGATAACAACATATTGTCCAGGATTTGCTCCACTGATGGTGATAGTTTTCCATGTTCTGCAAAGCCCTATATGGGATCCTGGTTGGGTACCCATGCTTTACTCGGACGGGCTTCGCTCACCCACGCCTATCCATGGTGATTTTCGGGATGCCATCCCCACCTATACTCGCCCACTTTCCATGCTTTTTGAACTCAATCTGCACGGATTGATGGCCTTGAGGCCCTTTGCTCTGATTGCAAAGATTCAAGCCGCATATCATAATTTATCGTAGTCGCAACATGGTTAAATGTTGCACACTACGTAGTGAGGATTGCAATAATATAAGATATACAATGATTAGCAATATAAATCGATTTATCCCCCGATATTGAGTACCCACCCATACTCACCCACAAGGCCATGGCGTACCCATATCCACCCATATCCATTGGGTATGGGTGGGTGTGAGTATGTGTACGCAATGTAGGGCTCTGATCTTCTGTCCTGTGAGAAATTTTTTTCAAATGGAAAAAGTTATCAGTTCTAAATTTGCAATATCTCAATAAGTACCTTTTTATAGATCTTTGATCATCAACAGTAAATTTGATACGTACTTGTTCGAGTTACTTATTTTTCTGAATGGTTTATGATTTTCTCTTTTTGTATAATTATCTTCTCTTTTACTGAACTTTTTCAGAATAGCATCACACCTTTTTCTAATGACTGCATGCTAATTTCGCTCATGTTAATGCAGTATTATTATGTTTAGAGTTTGATTTTTTTTTTTTCTGATCAGTTTACTTGGTTTATGCTCTCATTTTTTTTTTCTTTTGAAATTGATTGTTATTGAGTTGGCGTGTTCATCTTGCAGTTTTACTCGATGCCAGGAGGCTGCAGGTTTGGAGAAACTTGCAGATACAGTCACAGTAATGAAATTGCCGAAAGTGTTCCAGTAGAACTTAATAGCTTAGGCCTTCCTGTTCGGAAAGTAAGTCATTTGTAGTTAAATTTTTCCATAATATGATCAGCTGGTGAAATGAAACTCGTTTTGAAGTGGTTGCTGCTTTCCTAACATTTATATATTTTTTCTTCTCATTTGTTCTTTACTCTTGCAGGGAGAGAGAGTATGCTCATATTACATGCGAACTGGTATATGTAAATATCACAGTAGCTGTAAATTCCATCACCCAGAACTATCAGACATCGATGGACTACATGTTTTCGAATGCCACAGTGCTAGCTCTCTCCAAAATACAATTTGGCCTTCGCCTATGCCTGTGGAATCTCCAACCTTGCTGACAGCTTCCAATAACTCTAGTTTAAATTTAGATATTTCACAACCTTGCATGCCAGCCATGTCTTCGGAATGGCTAAATCTATATAAGGATCAAGTTAGATCGCAGGTAATTCAGTAATAAAATATTGTCTTCCATGTAGTACTGATAGATCTTGCAGGTCTTTAATGGTTCCTTTTGGTTTTCAGAGTCTGAGACTCTATGTAATTATTTGTTTCTTTGAAGCTTTTTTTTTTCGTGCTGTTTCTCTATATATCTTGGAGGGCATGGTTATAGGCAATTTTTTTGTTTTCTGGGTTTCCTCTTTCTGTGAATGTAATGGATCGTTTCAAGTAATAAATCTGGGTATCGTTTGTGATTTTTTTTTTCTCTCGCATTTTTAGTTGTTCCCTATTAGTTTCATAAATACTTGATGACATGGTATTTTTTATTTGTAATGAAGGTATATTTGAACAAACAGCAGTGCTACATATGTAACACAATCAAATTAAACTTAATCTGTCAAAGTTATTTTAAAGAATATTAGAAAATCTCTTAGGATACTAATTATCAACTGCTGTAGGTTGTCAAAATTCTTGATTAACTTTGAGGAAATAAATTGTGGGAGAATATCATCTGTTAAACAGCACTGTAAATTTATCTAACTTGCCAGACTTAGGCTTCATTTGGAACGGCTTTTTTTATTTCTTCTTAAATAGTTTTCTAGTAAAAAAATTAAAATTATTGTACTATAAAGCAGTTTAAAGAAGCAGTAAGAAGTCGTCCCAAATGAAGCCTTAGTGTCATGGGTTAATGCTAGCGACTATATTTGTTCTGTTTGTGGCAATTTTTTTTGAATCTTGCAGCTTGCTAGGAATCATTTTATTTATTGCATCAGAAGTTTTAATCTGTTGATAATTCTTCTTGCTAAATTTGTTTCTTTTAGTTTCTGATATATATTTATTTCGTCCACATCATCAAGAAATTCTTTACTAAGTGGAAAATTTGAATGTTGAGGTCTGATTATTATATACATTATTTTGGTAGGATTCTAGTTTACCCTCTTTGTCAAAAAAGACCAACTCCCATCCCTCAGCTGTAGACCAAAATGGATTTTCAAAGCTAGAGGATTCCCCTATGCAGCAAAAGGAAGTAGTTGATAATAGCAAGGAATCTGGCGAATCACAGTCTCAAAATGGAATTAGATACGAGGCTTTCAGACTAGCATTTCCATGGTGGCAGAGTCATTCAAAGGACCATCTTCCAGAATTTGAAGGATGCCTTCTTAGTCCTATAGGGCTGCCCCAAAGACCCGTAAGTGTTCTTCTCCTGATCAGACTTTTTTTCTGTGATTTTTTTTTAAAGTTTGTTACAGAGGATTTTTGTGTGGCGTGTAATCCCCGCATCTTGAAATAGAATTTCGTGGAAGTGCTTATATAGAAGAGCCATTCTTTATTTTTAGTATAGATAGATAGTTTTGAGCTTTATTGCCTGTCACAAAATTTGTGAGGATGGAGAGATTTTTATGCATTAACTATGCACAAATATCTCACACAGAGGTAAAAGAGCTAAGATAAATTAATCTAATAGGTAAATAGAGATTATAAAAGTTCACTCTTTCCCTCTATTGGAGAAGACATGATTACAACGTTTAGAGCAGTAGTTTGATCTCATGTGGTAGCTGAGAATGTTGAGTGTTGAAGGTGATCAAATGATGTCAGTCGGGCATTGGGGGCAGGATGATGACAATCGAACTCTAATAGTCTATAACGGCAGTCGGGCAATAGCAATTAGATGAAGACAATAGGATGACGATGAATGAAATATAATTGTCGGGTGATGACAGTTGCTAGAGATGGTTGTTGGCAATAGATGTAGGGTAGAGCTCGAGAGATCTTTATACCTCCAAGCTCTCTCTAATATTAAGTTCAAGTCTCGTTCATGTGAAAAATTGAAGTGTATTTATAGTGTTTGAAAGTGTCATTTGTTAAATATGATCAAAATCCAAAACATTTCATTGGACGCTCCGTGTTGATTCCTTTCATTATAGACCGTTCCTTTAGTTTTTAAGTATCTTAATAGCCTCGAAATTGAGTAATCTTATGCTCATTGGATTCCTTTCATCGAGATGCTCATTTTGACTTTACGTATGCATAAATATAAGATCATTTGGTTCTTTAATAAAATATTCAAAATTTCTAACCACACCTTAAGTGTTTAATTTGGGCTCATTTCAACTCAAATATGACCACTCTGTCTCATTGGGTTCTTTGTCAACACATTCAATTTAACTATAAGTTTGTTGAAATCAGAGTTTGGATTGCCCATAATTTGATTGTGAAAGTTTTCAATTTGAATACTACATCGAGATTTGTGTTTGAACAAATGAATTTTATGATGATATATCATTTCTTCATCTCCCTATTTTTGAGCATCGAAGTTGTGTCATTTGAAAATTATATTAAGACTTTGAAAAAAATTGGATGCAAATGTACAATTTTGAAAATAATATAAGACACGACCACTCCCTTTATATCATCGTGGATCTCTTGTAAAAGCCATGAACTAAATAAATTCTCTTAAATTGTAATTTCACCGTTATTTGAAGTTGATGCATTAGTTGCAGTGAAAATTATGGAAAAAATTTGGTTTAAACCCAAATTTGCTTAAATTGGTTGTAGAGGATTTGTTGGACCTAAAAGTGGCTAAATCCAGTAAAACAATGTTGAAAAATAGCCATAATTGTTGGTGACGAGTCCCTCTTGCGTGGGCGCACTGTTGTGTTAAATGTTTTTTAAAAATAAAAATGCAAAAAGAAAGTTTAGTGGATGGAGATCAACTGTTTTTAACATAATTTTTATGCCCCAGTCTTTGCATAGGTAATCCACTTTCAGTTCTTCTAGATCATGCCTTGTCAAATAATTGTTGACCTCACAATAGTTAATACTTGGCCGCTTATGCCTCCTTAAAACCTTAGTTGTTCATTTAGAGTAATGCGCATAAGAGAAAACACCTTGAGCCCAAGTGCTCTGAGGATAATCCCTTTTAATGAATATAAATGCAAAAATATATCTCCCCCCTGAAGTTTCTATTCCATTTATTCATCTTTGGTCTCTTCTCTCTAATTTTCTATTCTTTCTTATTGATTCCTAAACCCTCATATTGTCCTCGTTAGTAAAAAAAAAAACATTAGTAGCATTCTAAGGATTGCTTCTAATGATGATGTAAAACCTTAGGGCTCTTCAAAAGGCTATCTCCTTCTATCATCATTCCCTAAAGATTTTTTATTTCCATAGGAAAAGGTAGCGTGGTCTCTATGCTAATTTAGGCTTCGTTTGGAAAGACTTTTTTGCTGCTTTTTAAAGCTGCTTTCTAGTATAAAAGTTTTAATTTTCGTACTAAAAAATTACTTTAAGAAGCAAGTAAAAAGCCGTTCCAAACAAAGCCTTATAAAACTTTAAATGATTGATAAACAATTTTACCTCAAACTCGAGAGCCATTCAAGCAAGCAATCTGGGCCCACTTATAGTTTCCATGAACTATTTGTATTGTATTAGAGAATGTTCGGCTTACTATTTTCTCTCAAGTATTTTGATATTTGTTTTCTTAGGCTTATTTATGGACAGTTTTCTTGTTGTTTTCTAAAGTAATTTTTTAGTACAAAAAACTTTTAAACTAAAATTTTTTAGACTAAGTTAAGTGTTACAGAGATGAGGATGCTTAGGTGGATGAGTGGCTTTACCCTTAGAAATAGGATATGAAATGAGCATATACGTGAAAAGGTTGGAGTAGCTCCAGTGGAAGATAAGATTAGAGAGAGTCTCCTTAGATTGTTTGGTCACATTAAACGGAGGCCTTCCGATGACCCTATTAGGAAAGTTGATGCATTAGATTTGACTTATGTTAAGAAAGATATAGGTAGACTTAAAAGACTTGGTTAGAAAATATTAGAAATTATCTTTCTTTATTAGATTTAAATGAGAATTTGACTTTTAGTAGGACACAATGATGAAAAAAGATTTATGTAGCCGACCCCACGTAGTGGGACAAAGGCTTAATGTTGTTGTTGTTGTATTAGTTATAATGCTAACAACTATATTCTTTAATATATTATAAACCTCAATTTTAAAGTTTTATTATTTCTTTTGATTTCTTTGCTTTGTCATGTATTAGGATCACCCAGTGTGCATCTATTATAGCCGTTTTGGGATTTGTAAGTATGGCCCAGCTTGCAAATTTGATCATCCGATGGATGAGAACACAGACCAATCTGTCACAATGTCTGCAGAAGACAAGATGGAAGGTGAAGTATCCCTCGTATCACAGACAACTTAAGCTCATCAATTAAGGCTTTGTTTGGGACGACTTTCTTGTTGCTTCTTAAAGCAACTTTTTAGTATAAAAATTAAAAACTTTTTACTAAAAAGCTACTTTAAGAAGCAGAAAAAAAGCCATCCCAAACGAAGCCTAAGAGTTACAAGCAGAAGGTAAGCAGAAATTATAGTTTGAAAGAAGAAGTTGCGAAGGGTTCATCAAGTCAATCAGGAGCTGAAGGTGTGCAGACTTCTAATTGGCTCAGTGCACCTTTATAAGTAATAGTTTCTTCTAATTCAACTGGCCTGCAATTAGTGCTGTTAATTGAGATTTTACTCAACTAATTAGGATTTGGAAGTTTTTTATTCGTGCTTGTTAAAGTTTACTTATTTAGTGTTTCCTGCGTAGACTGAAAACTTTTGGAACTTTAGATGAAAAGTTTAATGCTGGTTAAGTGTTTGATGAAATGAATTATATTTATCCTAATCATAATCATTTGATTCATGAGAATGTTGAGTACTTTTTTCTGAAGAGTTTCATTAGGAGGATTTGAACGGTGATCTGCTGTTCAATTAGTCATTATAAAAGATCTGCATCAACAGCAATTTGGTTGATTGACGTTAGGAATCATGTCTTGAAAAAAGAAAGTTTTTTTTTTTCCTGGGTTTCATTTCGTGTTTTTGGATGTAGTTGTAAATTAAATATTTTTAATTATTTTTAAAATATAATTTCTCATTTCATGCATTAAAATGTGCCCTTATTTGAGACATTTTTTTTTTATTGATTTGTAAAATTATTGTAGAAATCAACTTCTTAGTACATTTTTTTTTTGAAAACAATAAAAATGCAGTGGTCAAACAAAAAGGGAACATTTTTAAACTAAGTATCATTAAAAATTAAATTTTGTGATTAAGTATATTATAAAAAAAAGTTTAAAAATAGGCAAAGTCTTCTGTTTAACTGGTGACTTACTAGTCTAGTCAGTATTAAATAAAAACCAAAAAACAAAATAAAAAAAATAAGTACTGTAGCAAGTTGCCCATTAAGCAGATGACTTGCTACAGTATAATATTGACGGACAAATAAAAATATGTTATAGTAACGTAAGTTTGTGCATTTTATTCATCACTCATCTCAGCACGTAAAAAAAAAAAATTAAATAAAAACAAATTTTTGTTTGAGGAGAAAAATAAGGAGAAAAGACTATTGGCCATATTTATATGCACTTCAGCTTAGAGAATTTTATGAGTTCTACTATTTTTTTTAGATAACATGCGCAAGCACGAGAGAAGAGCTTGATGAAATATAAATGATGTTTATTTTTAAATTAAAAAAGGTTCTTAAATAATTTAATTAAAAATATATTAAGAAAATATCTTTTAGTATGTCAAATTTATTCACTTAGTATTGCTCCAGAATAAACTAGATTGTTCGAACTGTTATTTTATGAACTCCAGAATAAACTATATTGCTCATAAATAAGAAATTGAGCTATGCTGAGCGAATAAATTTGCTATAAAAAAAATATCATTTGAGTGTTTAGAGAGGAAAATGGACACGGTACATAGCGGTACACAACAAATGGGTGATGTGGCGTGCTCTAATTTTCCTCTGATCAGCATCCATACAGATTAATTTGTCTATATGGAGGGCTACATAAATCATGCGCAATGTGGCATATATTGCAGAAGCATATGATTGATAGACGATTGTGATCCTTAAGTGCGATGAAGATTTGTGATAGAGATATTTTATGGTGTTTAAAGAATCTATTTGGCGTAGTTTTAGCTCCGTATATGAAGTGGCCATGTGTAGTTAACTATTCAACGACTCTACGAGTTTGTGATGAGTGATATGATCTTGGTGGAGCTACCACAAACTTGTTGTAAAGTCTCTTATATGATTGATAGAGAATGACTTGAGTTGTTATTCTAGGAAGCATGATTGATTTGTGAATTGTTGTTGGACCAATCTATTCTTAACCATGATTATAATTGGATTGGCCAAGATAGCAATTTAGTTGAACCTAAATTTAAACAATTACACAAATAGATGGTTCTAATACAAAAATAATAGCATTTAAGTTTTTATCCCACTACGTGAGGTCGGCTACATGAATCATTTTTCTGCATTTTGTCCTATTAAGATGCAAATTCTTATATAAATATAATAAAAATGTCATTTCTAATATTTTTAAACTAAGTCTTTTTAGGTCTATCTCTATCTTTTTTAACATAGATAAAATCAAATACATATACTTTTCTAATTGGGTCATCAGAAGAACGATGTTTTTATGTGACAATACCATCTAAGGCGACTCTCTAATCTTAACTGCAACTGGGGCTACTCCAACCTTTTCATATATATACTCACTTTGCATTTTGTCTCTAAGAGTGAAGCCAATCATCCACCTAAGCATCCTCATCTAGCAACACTTGACTTAATTTTATGCTTATCTTTGAATGACCAACATTTTACGTCATAGCATCGTAGGTCTTGTCACCATCTTATAGGATTTCCCCTTAAGTTTTTGAGATATTTTTCTATCACATAATAGGCCTGATGCATTCCTCCACTACAAACCATCCAACATAAATTCTACTAATAATATCCCCATCTATTTCACCATCACACAACATAATTCAAAGAAGGTGAAGGACATGCAAACACGACATGTTTGATGCTAACTAAAAGTGTTATTAATAAGTTTTAGAGAAAAGGAAAAGCATGGCGCTTAGATTTGTGTGTCTCCTTCACCTTCTTTGAATCATCTTGCCTCATTAGCAATATGATTATATGACTCGAAACCAATTACATCAAAAATATCTAGATTCGAGCTCAACAGGCTTATAAATCAAGTACATAAAATCATAACTAGAAACTTCTCAACTTTATCTAAGATATCTAACATCATTTAAATGTTGCATACTAATAATCAAAATGAGCTTCTCGAAAAAAAAAAAAAAAAATCTATCAAGATTGACATCACTCAATTTTGAGTTTATTGAGGAGTTGAGACTAAAAAAAAGAAGAAATCAAATGTTCAAGGGGGTCTAATCAGACCATCTTATGTAGTGTTCATAAATTTTATAAAAATAACAAAAATATCCTTATTGAAATTTATAAATGAACTTTATTTCAACTCATTGAGGGGATTTATTTTTTATAATGAGAATGCCTAGATTTGAGAATTCAAAAGGTATACGCATATCATTCGACATTAGTATTGATAAATATTTATCTCCATTTTCACCTCCAACTAAATCTTATTATTGATTTGCATCAATGTTCGTTGTCATTCCACCATTGACGAATGTAAACAATTATCATCATTGTCATCCAACGCCAATTGTAGAGCAACATCAATGCACGCTATCTCCATTTTCTGACATCGACTATCGATCGTTGTTGATACTCGTTATAAACTAATTTTGATGGCCATTATCATCCATTACTTGATGCCTATTGGTGACTGATATTGATACTCACCATCAACCAAGTGGTGCCACTACTTACCAATGATGATGTATGAAACCCCTTGAATAAAAATAAACTAAATCTCTTAAAAATAATTCTTTAAAAAACGTGTAAATAAATAATATGAGTTATAAATTAGCTTCATAATAATTTAATTCTATTTTTTAGACGCTTGGTTTTCCACCTGGAACGTGTTCGACACACGACTGGTTAACGTGGGCCGGCATTACACCGCAGGCCTACAACACCGCATTACTAGTAAATACGAACTCTAACACGTCGCTAGCTATAAGGCTCCTTCTTCAACTTGGGCCCATTTTCTCCGTTTCTTTGTTCCCGATCCAACGGTCCCGATGGCTCTTCTCCGCCGTGTCGTCGCCGCCTCCGCCGCCATCCTACCGGAGCGCACCGCTTCTATCGCCATAGCAGCCCGCCTGGTTCCAACCCAGCGGAACTCTTCGCAGGCAGAACCGGTCTCACCGAAGCCAAAGAAGTTGAAGACGTTCTCGATCTACCGTTGGAATCCCGACAACCCAACGAAGCCGCAGCTGCATAACTTCGAGCTTGATCTCAGCGAGTGCGGGCCTATGGTTCTCGACGCGTTGATCAAGATCAAAAACGAGATGGATCCGAGCTTGACGTTCCGGCGATCGTGCCGCGAGGGCATCTGCGGGTCCTGTGCGATGAATATTGATGGGGATAATGGGCTGGCGTGTCTTACCAAGATCCGGTCGGAGAGCGGTACGGAAACGACGATCACGCCACTGCCGCACATGTTCGTTATTAAGGACCTTGTGGTGGACATGACCAATTTCTACGCGCAGTATAAGAGCGTGGAACCGTGGCTGAAGCGCAAGGATCCGCCTGAGGTACCGGGGAAGGAGAATCTTCAGAGCAAGAAGGATCGGGCTAAGCTGGATGGGATGTACGAGTGCATTCTCTGTGCTTGTTGTAGCACATCCTGCCCTAGCTACTGGTGGAACCCGGAGTCCTACCTTGGCCCTGCCGCCCTTCTACATGCCAACAGGTTATTTCCTTTTATTTCTCCCTTCTTAACATCCTTTACTGATGATTGTGATTTGATCCTTTTATCCGAATTGCTGATTATCGTAAAATTATGCCTGAATAAAAGGGGAAACAATGAATACTGTTATCTTTTGTATGCCCTCGTAGTTTCGTAGGAGTTAAAAATGATTTGCCTGGTTTTTGGTAATAGTTCTAATTGTACTATATTAATTAGATAGTGGTGGTTGAAAAAAGGTTGCTTTGTAATTTCGTTTAATGCATAAAGTGCATGATGTAGAGAAGAAATTGAGTTTGGGAAACGATAACTGATTATGCATTACGAAATGTACGTGCGGATGTTTTGTATTGTTAGGGGTCTGTAAGAGGAAAAAATAAAATCCTATGCGGTATATTTTTCTTTATTTTTATTTGAAAGAAATGATTTTGATGGAAATTAATATATTATTCTCCATATTGATGGATTTTAGAAAGCAACTCTATTACCAAAAGCTATATATCCGGAATCGATCTTTCTTGTGATGATTTTGTGATGTTCCTTTCTTTCAGTCGTGCGTGATTAATAGGCATTTTTTACTTTTCTTATAATTTATATGCGGAGGTCATAAATTGCAAAATCATTGAATTATCATGTGGTAGTTACCTCGCGTCTTATTAAGACATCTTTCTTAAGATTTCCATTAAATTTGTTCTTTCATGAATTTTTCCAGCAGCGTTCACTCTAAAACCAGATTATGTATTGGTTACAACTATCTCAAATCATTATGGGTAATCAAGGTTAAAAAGGTTTCTGTGCTCTAGAACCTTATTTCTTGCCTAGAATGGACTTTTATAGTAATAAAAACAAGTAGTATAGACTGCCGTAAGGTTAAAAATTTTAGTTATATTTTATAAATTATGATTGGTAAAAATATTTTATGACTAAAATGAATATTTAATTATTTTTTTATAAAAATTATAGTTTAAAGTTATGATTATACAATAAACATTCAAATGAGCGGAGAGACGGTCGAATATATTTCTTAAAGTAATACTTGAGAGTCAAATATAATCCTTTGTAAAAGAGAACAATCAAATTGAAAACATATTGTAAGGAACTTTTAGATTAACATCCTCATATGTTGGGATTCAATGGTGCTACAAGATTGATACTAGGATTTGACGCGGTGTGGGATCCATGCTCGGATTCGCCGCTGAGATTTCACTACGCTGCGGGATCGATGATCGGGAACGATGCTATGAATTATGTTTGGTAAAGTTTTCAGTTGTTGTTATTAGAGGACATTGCATATTGGCGGCTCTGTTCTTCTCTGTTGTATTACTATATGCCTTGTGAGGTCGTTGCTTTTTAGTCTCTGCTTTTTAGTCTCTGGTGTTCTTGTTGGCTATTGTGTGGAGATTATGTTCAAGGTGTCTGACTTCTATTTCTCATGGTCGTTGTGGCCCTTTTGGACTTTCAATCTTTTGGTTTGTAAGCCTCCTGCAAAGCCTCTTCCTTTGTGATTTTTGATGCTCAAGAGCTTCCTATTTCCAATTCCTCTACCTGTGCAACTTGGCCAAAAAAATTGATGCCCGTCTGTTTTGTAAACAATCATCTTTTCTTTCTTGGTATAGCATCACCATCAAAATATTCATCAAGTCCCTAATGGGTAAAACTTCATTTTGTTCTCTTCTCATTGGTATCATGCCTCACTAAACTTTTCATGGTATGCTGATTATTTTTCTCAATGAAGAGGAAATTGATTTGCATGTCAAAAACTTCTAGTTTCTATAGCAGTGAAGTTTTCATATGGTTGTCCTTCAATGTAAGAGTTCCAAATTTTCTTTAAACAAGCTAGCATCTTAGATATTATTTTCTTGGGTAGATCCTAAGCATGTGTTGATTCACTTCCATAACGAAGAAGATTATTGTCACATGTTCTTTGAAGGTATACTCTCATGCCATGAGACTTTTTAAATGGGTTTCACATTGATGTTGAAGAATCATATATGAATTCCATTTAAAATTTTGTTTTCTCATCTTCATCTTCATCTTGTTAACCATATGTTTTTATATTCTATTGCATTTGTTTAGGAATGTCGTTGCAAGTAGACACCGTTATTGCTCCATTTTATCAATCATCTTTCGCTTGGGCTTTGATGGGCTGCTATGTCACATATAACTTTTGATAAAAAAGATATGAATTAGAAATGAGATTGAAGGATATTAGCAATACGTAAAATTTAAAAATATACCTTCCTTTTCTGTGCCTTGTAAAACTTTCGGGAATGATATCTTTTTTTTCCCTTTACATCTTTTAAATTTAAGAAAGCTAATGTTGCTATACTTAAAAGTGAAACAAGAAAACTTTGAGTGGGGCTACCAACAAGATTAATGTATTTGTTCATAAATGTCCTTCTTTTGTTAATGTGGCGGATCAAAATATTAGATTGGTGGATCCTAGTATGGCTTTAAATGGGGTAAGGATTATCCTACGTTGAATGAAAGATTGTTCTGGTGGAAGTGTTGCAAGCTAATGATGTTGTGGTTGTTTCTTCTCTCTTTGGCTTGTGGGAGAAACTAAAAATCTATTCATTTTGGAGGAAATTTGGTTTTTGATGGTCATTTGGGTGATGATATTGCGTTTAATCTCTAGGATAAGGATATTTTTAACTTAGCTTTTGAAGAAATTTCATTGACGTGACTTCTAAAGACAACAAGTTGGCTAATGTGAAGAATGTGCTAGTGGTTGGCATTCGACCTTCATATATGATTCTACTGGTTTTGAACATTATGAAGATGCCTCTGTGCAATTTGATTTATTTAAAGCTTGTCTTTTAAATGTCTTATTCCTTTGGTTCTGCATGAATCTACTATAATGTCTCTCTTCCTTTTGTGTATCATCTTTTTTTCTTAATTATTGTTCATCCACATGAGTTGACTTAAAGAAATACTACTTGTGGAGGACCCTTTACCTTGTGATTTTTTTTTTCTAGAACCTTGACTTAAAATTTTGAGCCTAATGTTGGCTCTTCTCTAAAGAATGAACAGTTCGAAGGAGCATGTTGTGGCTAGCCCTAATTTTTAGGATGACCATAGCTAAAGATAAAATGTTAGAAGCTCTACGCTGTTCTGAATATTTTCTAAACTCTTAGGAGGTTTCATTGCATTAACATGATGAGTAGGACAATGGCTACTATGAAGACCGGCTTAATGATTACTGGACAGCTTGCTGAGGTTGTCATTGAAGGTTTATTTTTATTTTGTCTCTTAGCTTTCTCTCATTGTAGTTTTTCCTTAGTTTATGATTTAATGAAATAATTTTTCCTTTATGAAAAAATAATGTAATTCGGTTAGCATGGCTAACCCCTATTTGAGTTGACTGGCTAATCATAAGGGATCAATAGGATTAAAAAAAAGAAAAAAGGGATCAATAGGATTAAAATCAAGATTGGGTCAGTACTATGATCTAACCTTGATTGGGTTAACCTGCTATGCTAATGAATTAATATGGGCTAAGCCTTAAACTAGGTCAATGTGGGCAAATCCCAAGTGGGTCTACATCATTTGGTTAACCCAATTTGACTAAACTAGGTATTGGTCAGCAAGGGTATGCCTTGTTTTTGAAATTTCATCATATTTACGCAATACTTTAATGACTATAAAATTAATTTATATAATGATTCAATTCTTCTAATGCAAGCACTAAAAAAATGTCTTTCGGTGATTGCATTTTGTTATGACCTTTGGATGTTTCTAGTGGATTTTTACTTAAATTTAGCGCTTTATTTGAAATATAGAAAAATGCATAAGTAGTGGAGCTAAATTTCTATTGTTAATGTTGAATTATGAAAGTTGAGATTTTATTATTGTATTTATGAACTACTGTTAGGGATTATTTCTTTTTAAGCCTCATTATAGAGATAAAACTAAACATTCCTTAAGAGTTGAGGTATCAAATTGGTCCCTCAAAATAGTTGGAGATCATTTTGATCCCTCACAAAGAGTTGAAAGATCATTTTGATTTTTTTCTCTATTTTAACCACCCCCGGAAAAAAAAAAAAGTTGGAACATAAATATGCTATGTAGGTTGTGTTCTTACAAGAATATACTTTTTGTCTTTGAACTTTGTGTTGGATCTGATAATAACCTGTTGATGCTTTGAGTAGATTTTTTGTTCTTCAGGTTTAAGCTTATCGGTTGGATTATATGAAAGAGGAGAATGCTACATGTATGTAATTGAGTGGAATTTATACAGATTGAAATAATGATTCATCTTTACTTAATAAAGTTTATATGATTAAATATGGTCATTTATTTAAGGATATTTGTCTTGGTATTCCTGATTCATCATTGAGGTATTTTCTAAATTTAGAATTACATGTTGAGGATGTTGTTGGTCGTTTTAGAATATATTAGTCTATTGCAATGATTGAGCGCATGTATTTATGGTCAAGTTTGAAAAAAAATGTAGCACACATGTTTGCAATATAGGACTTTTTAGTTTTCTACGGGTAGAAAATATAATATATATAGGGATCAGGGATTTATACACCTCCGCCCAGTTTATATAAATCTTTAGAGGATGTTAGTATAAATTTTATATTAGGTTTACCATGAATATTAAAAAAACATATATCTATGTTTGTAGTGGCAGATATTTTTCTAAAATGATACATTTTATATGTTGTCATAAGATAGTTGATCTATCTTACATTGCTAACTATATTTTTCTAAAATGGTTTATCTAAAACAGTCATTTCTTATCAAGATGTATAACTCGTATTTATTTTTGAAAAATTCTTTGAAAAGAAAAGGGAAAGAACTTAATTTTTAGCTATTTATCACCAACAAATGGATAGTCAAACTGAAGTGGTTATTGAAAACTTAGAAGATATATTGTATTGTTCAAACTGAACGGGTTTGTGGAAGCTTGAGTTCTATCATGTTGTCTGATAAATGATTATGCATCCGGATGAGATTTGATATTACTTATGATTGGGTTTGCATACAAATCATCTGACAATAGGTCTATTAAAATGACTCCATTTGATATTCTCACCAAATGCAAACCTAGAGAACCTATACATCTTGTTGGCCCATCAATAAAATATAAGCCTTGTGTATTTGTATAATTATTTGCATAACATATGCATAATTTGCATGAGGATATTCTCATAAAATTGTATATTAATTGTGATAGTTAGAAGTTTTGTTCTGATTTAAAGGTTATGTAGATTTTAAAGCCTGTCATAGGGTTATGCCACATTTAAATCCATAAAAGGATTATTTTTGGAACCCTTATGAAGTTGAATGCAAGGAAGGTGAGATGATTTAAAATTGTACAACTCAATGGAACTAATGATACAAATAAGAAATTCTAGTATTAATTCATTTTTAGCGTATTGATTTGACCTTATTTTGTTAGCCAGTGTCAATTTTTGGATTCTACCCTCTTTTCATATCTTCCTGACTAGTTGATATCCATTCCTCTAATAGAAACTTCTATGCATCTTGTTCTTGAAGGTATTCTAGATGAGATTGTGTCTCTACTGATTTTGGATTTTAAAGATAAATTATTCACCGACCAGATATTATTAATTGTGATGATTCATGGCTTACTGTACAGGAGGCTCAGAATTTATATTCAAATTCGCTTGAGTTGAATTTGTCCAAACTAAGTATATTTGATAAAATTCTTTACATTTAACCTTGTCTGAAATATTGATATTCAATTTTTTTAATGTTTTCATATTTTTCAAAAATTCATTGATATTTATGATCAGCTCATTATCAGTTGGGCTTAAAGGCTACTATTGATTGTTTTTATCTGAAGAAAATGAGTTTTATTAATTAGTTGCGATTTGTGAATCCTCAATTTTTATTTATCAGCAAAAGTGAGTTGTTGTCCTAGGACGCCTTAACTTTTAGTAACTCGAAGGAGAGCTTTTGTTGAAAAAAAGTTATAAACCATAAGCGATTATGATGAATTCTTAGTCCACCAAAGGAAAAGGGATGTGCTTAGCTTTTGCATAAATTTCTTGAACCAGTCCTTTTTGAATTTTGATTTTTGAAAATTGTTGATCCTAATTTTTTCGTGCGCATGTTAAATCTACTTGTATCATCCATGAAGATGCTTATTCATTGTGATAGCGAATGTCTGTGTTGGATAATACCGAAATGAGTTCCTAGTCATACTTTTCTTAATAGTAAACATTTATAGAAATTCATCTGTACAGTGAAGGTCCGGTAGTTATCAATAGAAGATGCTTGGGAACTTTGATGATGGAAACAGATGGAAGCTCTGATATTTGAACGAAATGAGCATACCGAAATGAGTTCTGAGTTAGACTTTTCTTAATACTAAACATTTATAGAAATTCATGCATACATTGACGGTCTGGTAGTTAATCAATAGAAGATGCTTGAGAACTTTGATGATGGAAAGAGATGGAAGCTTTGATATTTGAACTAAATGAGCATATACGTGAAAATGTTGGAGTAGCTCCTATAGATAAGATTAAAGAGAGTCGTCTTAGATGGTTTGGTCACATAAAATAGCGGCCTTCCAATAACTCGATTAGGAAATTAAATGTATTGGATTTAGCTTATGTTAAGAAAGGTAGAGGTAGACCTAAAAATATTTGGTTAAAAAATATTAGAAATGACATTTCTTTATTAGATTTAGAGAATTTGACTCTTAACATGACACAATGGAGAAAAATGATTCATATAGCCGACCCCACATAGTGGGATAAAGGCTTGTTGTTGTTCTAATACAAATTTGATTAGGATGTGCTTTCGAATTATTAGATTTGCTTTGAAATGAGTGCAATATAATTTTGATTTGAGTTGCCATATATTGCACTAATTTCAAAACAAATTCAATAACTCCAAAACTAATCCCAATGAAATTTGATTTAGAATATCCTGAACCCAAGTTTTCTTCCCTAATTTCTTCATAATGCAGCTAGGTTTGCTGAAAATAATGGCACTCGGTATATTGTTTTGTCTGGCATGTCTTATTGTGAGTTTCAATTGTTTAAATTCTTTCATGTAGAAACTTTGTAACTGTTAAAATTAACAAAATATTCTCGACTATATATTGCTTAATTTATTAAGAATGAATTCATAAATAATCATCCCAATGCTGAAAAATGTCTGCTTGATCATCTCTCCTTTTTTTAGTTGTTTCTATTATGTACCTTTGTTATTACGCATCACTTTCAACAACCAAAAAGAATTAATTTCTGCGGCATATTAAAAAATGAAAAGTTTAAAAGATACCTTTAACAGTTAAATCAATTAAATTCAAATTACTTTTGATTCATATAGTATCTAAAACCATATTTTTTCTATTCTATATTACGTCAGGTGGATTCAAGACAGCCGTGACCAGTATACAAAGGAACGTCTGGATGCCATTAATGATGAATTTAAACTTTATCGGTGCCATACCATAAAGAACTGTGTACATGCATGCCCAAAGGGATTAAATCCTGCTAAGCAGATTGAATCAATCAAAAAGCTTCAACTTAAGCAGTAGCTGTTCTTTCTATGTTCTGTAGTGAGTACAATTCCTCCAATCAAAGCTGTATTTGAGCTCATTGCTCAGCAGCTCCTACTGAACAATTTTTGTTTTCAATAATCACTATTGACTGTAAACTCCTATATTTCCTGCCCTTAATCTTATTGTTTTGGGAAATAAAAGGCGTTTGTACTGTAATTTCTAATATGTGAGAAACCATTCTGTCACAGCTATGTTTGATGTTGTCTTATGAAATTTTGTGTGATATTGCATTATTTGAGAGCAAAGTTGAAATCGACTACTCGATTTATTTAGTAATAAATGTCTGATTATTGTCTTTATTAGTCTAGTTCCTTCTGTTGAAGATATGTTTCATGAATACTTATTTTTCATTAATTTTCGTTGGTGCATTGGGCTGCTGATGCACTGTTTAATCTGCTTCATCTGCTACTTAGTGTTTATTTTTTTTACGACTTTATTTTTCAGATAGCAATCATAATTCTATTTAATGATAACATGCTTTTTGGCTTCTGTTCAGGAGTTTTTGTGGCAATAAATAAGTTTTTATGGCTAAATCTATTGGTTTATGATAGTTGTAAGCCTACATTCCCCTAACATAATAGTTCCACATAGTTTCTACAGATAATTGTAGTCCCAAACCAATTCTAAGATGCTTCAAGTGCAGTTTTGTGGAGATGCCAAATTTTTTTTACTTTATGTATTCTGGCAAGTTCGAAATTACTAGATTATTACATGCGGAGTTCGGATGGGAGAACTGTCCAGATTTTGTGAGTGTACACAAAAAAGCGCAGTGTGCATAGTAATTACGCTTTTACTGTGCACACTCACAGGATCCGGACGCAGCTCCGGTCCGAACTTCGCACGTAATAATCTCTCCTAGAATAGGAATGGAATGGACCAATTGCATCTTAAGAAGCTCCCTATTTCATATGGAAAAGAAATAGGGAACAGGAAAGTGAAATACTGCAGCAGATCTAAGTTATTTTTATGAGGAATTCTTTATAAGACTTCTATCCTGACTGTAACAAAGCCATTCAAATAGAGTGCCTTAAATTTTGCTAGATTATTCTTTTGTCTTGCAGAGGCTTCCTGTTTAAGCTAAGTGGCCAATCATAACTATTAGCTAACATCTCTCTATGCATTTTGAAGGGTATTTTAGAAAAGTTATGGGTTGAAGCCTTGAAGGTATTGGGAGTTGATTACTAGGATGATGATTCTGAGACTTGATTGAATTTGTTAGATTGGACTTCCTTATTCACCCTCTTTATTTTAGTTTGTTTTGGGTCATATGACAAACTCTTCCACATTAATGTAATTGTTGGCAATTTTATGAATTTGGTGAGAAAGAGCCAAAATTTTCCTTGTTTTGGTGCTCGCATTAATGCAAGCTATGGCTTTGCTTAATGTAGAGCCTTGATCTTGGTTTTCTCCTTAATAAATCTAAAGGATAAACTTGTGAAAATATTCATTCTTACCTTATATGGGGAGGATTGGGCATTTTAAGCTTTTTCTATATAAGCTCATAAATTGGTTACAAGATAATGGTAGAAATTTTAAGACGTAATACTACTATATTGGACAACCGAGTAATTCATCGAGAGTTGAATTATTCGGGGTTGTAAGAAATACCTTATAAAGAATGGCCTTGTAAACTCTTATGAAAAGCTATGTGGCCTTCAAACTATTGATAGGATTAGCGAGATTGGTGGTGCTTTAAAATTTTTCTTATTGTGACATCTCAAACTTTTAAGGAAATGTTTCTTTCAAGATATTGAGTGTTATAATATTGGATGCTCTTCTTGTTATAATTGTCATTTGAATGGAGTTGGCAATGTCCACTTTTTTTTTAAGAATGCGTAGATTTATGATAAAAGGATGGGCGACATTTTTACTGCCCATAATGTTAAAATGAAGGGCCACATGGTGAGACAAGTTTGTTTCTTAAATATGATTTGATGCTTCGTTGACTTTAGCCACTAGAAGGGATGTTGCATCCCAAACTTTATATTTTATATCATATGATTGAAACACTCCTCCATTTGCTTTGATCGTTCATCATAACATATTCTAGTTGGTGTCAAGACGGAGAATAGAAAGATCATGATAATGCTTCAATCTAAAACTCGCAAATTAATGGATCGGGAGAAAACTCCTTTTGAAAAGGGAGTTAAATGGATGTAGGGAGAATAGAGGCCGAGCATATTTAAGATTATACAAATTTGCTATAAGAAGCCAACCACTTAGTCGGATGATGAACTCTTGTTCACAACTTATATTAGATTTTGAAAATATATTGATCTTCTTCACCTCTAGATTGGGAATCTCTATTCATGAGATTTAAGAGACTAGCTACTAGTTCAAATAATCGTTGAGTTCTCTCTCCTCATTTGAAATGGTTGGAATCAAGACTCCATGACCTTGCTAAGTACAATCATAACTTCCTTTTCATTTTAATTATTCCATTTATCCCCAAGAAATTTGGGATAAAAGGAGAGTATTTGTAACTATCCTTCCACATAGACGTCCATTACATCAAATGGTCAAAGAGTCTCAACGAGTGGTTCGTATGCCTTGCTAGATTAACCCGTTAAATTTTGAATCATTAGAAAATATGAGATTTAGGCTATACAGCAGGGTTGATTTCAGGTTTAATAATAAGAAATCGTTAATCATGTGGCATATACAGCCTAAACTTTGAAGGAGATTGAATTTATCATGGAGGAGTTGCATCATTATAATCATTTGATTTATGAATATCATGCAGACACGCACCCAAATCTTTTGTTCCCTTTACTCATAATAAATGTGTAGAATTTATAAATTAAATTTATTGATGTTGAGATTAGGATTGTAGATGAATCAATACACTTGACGAGCTACTCTTGCCTTTACTTGATTAGAGCTTGTATATGATCATTTAATTAACTAATCGAATAAGTTTGAATAAGTCACTCAAGTAGCCATTATTTTAAATGAATTGAGCTTGAACACTAATGCAAGCATTCAAATAAAGCTGAGCTCAGGTTCGAATAGGCTTTTGGCAAACGAGCTCAAATTTGAGCTCAATTAAACTAAAGTAAGTCAAGTAGGAGCTTGCTCAAGGTTGAAGGTTGAACTTGTTTGTTATAATCAAGTTTTGAGGTCTATTCAAATAGTTAATTATAATAGTATTCAAGCTTGTTTCGTTTAAAATTATAATTATTTGAGTTTGATTTGAGCTAAACTCGTTAATTAATCAAACGAGCCTATTAATGAGCAACATTATTCAGCAACTTGTCAGATATATGAAAAGTATTATCAAGTAAATTAATTAATTAAATGATTATAAATGAGCTATAATTGAGCTGTGGCACATACAACTAGTCAAGCAAATTGGTTCATTTCCAGTTTTTGTAGTATAATCAAGACATCCACATTTTTGTTTGATTCACTAGTTCAAATAATTTGATTGAGGGTAATTTGTGAAGAAAAAATTTGACTTAGAATATCAAAATTAAATTTAAATTTATTTTAAGATGAACTTAATATTAAAGATGCAGTGGTGTATATGTAAATATATATATTTTATAATACTATCTGGTATAAATTTCTCGCTCTTGGTCCAATTATACGTAGAGATTCGCCATAGAGCGTTATATTTACGTCAGCCGAGCGGGTTGGGCCAGAGTACCAGACGCGAGAAGAATCTTTGGGAGAGGGAGAGGGAGAGAGAGAGAGAGAATTTGGAGAGGGAAATGGGGGAGGAAGAGAAGAGGATGAAGCGAGTTATGGTGACCTTCGATGTGGACGGCACTCTGATCAAGAGCACTGGAAACTCCTCCAACCGACTCCACCGCCAAGCTTTCTCCCACGCCTTCTACCAAGTCTTCGGCCTCAAGGACGTCAGCATCGATGCCATCCAGGTTCGCTCACTTTTCCTTAACAGCTCACTAACTTTGCCCTTTGTAAATGCGAAGATCGTATGATCCCTTTTCTTGTTTCGCTTTAAGTGTTTACTTTCTTCGTCTTTACACCCCTAATCTCGAGCATATTTTATCTAATTTTTTCCTTAAAATTTATTTGAATACCATATAGACAAAGATCTTGCTATTAAAAAATTAACTCAATCTTCGAACTAACTTCCCATCCCCCTTAGCAAGATACATATTTAAAGTATGAGCTTTTCTTTTGTTTATTTTGCATGAACAAGAAGTCTTGGACTTTACAACATAGTATACGTTATTATAGTAATTAGAGTCATACCATTAGTCATATATTATAAAAAGTCCTATTTCATATGTATCTTTCATAGCATCTATCACTTATGAAACAAAAGTCATACCATTGATTACCAGTTATGTATATGACTTGTTCCTTAAGCTTAAAGAAATTGATTCTTGGTCCACAATTACCAAGAATATAACTATATTTGAGCTATCCCTATCTTTCTTCATTTCTACAAGCAAACATTTACAAATCCAGTTGAGTGCTAGCTTCAGTCATTAGAATATTTAAACTCCTAAAATCATACTTAATATAATCAAAAGTATAATATCATTCTAAACTTTGAACAATTTTATTTTCCATGAAGAAGAATGCATCATAAAATTTTTGATAATTCAGGAACAATTTTATTTTCCATCAAGTAGAATGCATTCCAAACTTTGAACAATTTTTTATCATGATATCACAAATTGCAATTAACAAAATCAGAAAATCCACTCGAGCTAGGCGTACGCTGAAATAGCGACTAAATGGCGAACATGCATGCGGAATTTTGGGCATCACCAGGAAATTTTAAATGCATCACAAGAATCTTTCAAGAATTTAGGAAATTTAAGAATAGCTACTAAATGGCGACCGGACTACAAAAATTAGGGCAAATGGGAGGAGTTGGAAATTACCTAAGATCGAGCAAGCGAATGGCGACCCGTGATGACTGATTCGGCAACGGGAATGGGATCGACGACAACTCCAGTGGATTCGGTTGTGGATGGCGATTTGGAGGCGATAGCGAATGTTTCAACGAGCGAACGCGCAGAGAAGAGCACTCGTTTTGCGGTCAAATGACTAGGTTAGGGCATATGGGGAATTCCTTCGAAGGAATATAATGCCGGTTTTAGCGCCGGTTAAATCCGCTGTTATATTAATATAATAGCATCGGTTAAAACTGCTGTCTATACCCGTCTATAGCACCGGTTTTCCGACCGCTGCTATTAAAGGCTGCGAAAACTTCAATTTTTTGGTAGTGTGGTTAAATGTTTTGTTTTCCAACTCTCAATCTGTGCAAAAAGTTCTAATTTATCTAATATGAAAACTTTTTAGCATATTAATGCTAGGATGAGCTGATCACTGGTTGATGTTTTTTCTTGACAAACATTTTTTAAATGACGGGTCGGTGGTATATCTGCTAATGTCTCTATTATTTGCATTCTGAGCGTTTATTAGACAAGGCGTGCAACATCTTAATTCATAGCAAAGAAACAATGGTTTTGGAGTCTTGGACAAAGCTCATGATGGAATAATAGGGGCTCGATTTCCTTAAATATATGATATCTAGTTATTCAACGAGTTTCTATGAGCAAGTAAAAGGTGGGACACATGTTAGTTAATAGATAACCTCCACTATAGGGAATTCATGGATTTCCCTAGGGTCTGTTGGAATTTCCGGTGGACAATCCGCCGATGATTAGAGCATGCGACATTTTTTCTGTCGGAACCCAATGTCAAAAAATTTACTTAATTTCCGATGGATTTTTCCGCCGGTAAGTGCTAGCCTTATTTTGTCCCAACCCATCCACTTCCTTCATTTTCATGATCTTCCTTCCCAAAACGAAGCTATTGCCTTCTCTACAGCTCGTCGTCGTTTTAGGTGATTTTTTGTTCTTTTTTTTCCATTGCTTTGAGATTTAAGAGGTAAAACTTGTTCTCTTTGCTCATTTTTATTTTTAGGGAATTTGAATTGTTAGAACACATAAAATGTTCATATTTGTGGTTAAAGATTTGAGAGGTAAACTTGTTATCTTTGCTCATTAAATAGGTTTGAGGGATATTGATTTAGATTAGTGATATTTTGTTGTGTTAAGAAGATTTAGATGGAATATAGTGAAAAATGATAGTTTGTGTTAAATTGACAAGTAAAAGTGATTTTAGTGTAAATTCCCCTTAATTAATTATTATTCATCTAATTATTTCTATTATTTAATAAAAAATTGTAATTAGCACACATTTTCATGATAAGTCCAATTATAATTAATCTTATTACAATTTACTCTAATAATATCATAATTAATAGCCTGGGCGCTAAGTAGGGGAAAATTTTCAAAATTTTGCAACGATCATTAGATAAAATTATTAGATGATTAGATAATATGATTTATTTTTCTATAACTATTTTATTTTTAAGGTTGTTAATTCAAGGTCCATATAGATATCTGAAAAGAGGTGTTGGATGTATAATAGAATGTTACCGGGATGAAAAACACCGATAGATGAATTTATTGAGGAAATTGAATATTTTATTCACGTGGCATGTCATTTAATTTAGATGGAATGTTTAAATGTCCATGCTTGGAGCATAAAAATCAAGCTTATCTTAAACTCGATGAGATTAAGTTTGATTTATATTATAAGGAATTTGTCCCATGATATTAATTTTAGACCTTAAGAAGCACATACAAACACTAATTATGGTCCCTCCACAACTTCAAGAGCAGTAGGGTCAGATCAAATAGATAGAATTTATGAACTTATTTTTGATGCAACTAGTTCGAATTTAAGAGGACACATAGAAGATTCTCCTAAAATAGAAATGCATAAATTATACGAATTACTATGTGCTGCTCAACAACCAATTTGGGATGGTTGCGCTGCTCATTTTGAGTTATCAGTTGCTGTTAGGATGCTTTGTATTAAAATTAAATACAATATTCCTCGAGAATGCTTCAATGAATTTATTAGCATGCTTAAAGAAACAAATCCTGAGGATAATTTAATTCAGATAATTGTTTAGGACAAAGAAGTTAGTATCAAAGCTGGGTCTCACTGCTATAAAAATTGATTGTTGTATGAATAGTTGTATGTTGTACTATAATGAAGATGGACATGAGTAGTTGTCGTACGTGCAGTGCACCTTGATACAAACCCAAATATGGGAAACAACAAAAACATAAGGGTGTGTCATATTCTCAATTGTTTTATTTATTAGCCCGGACGCTTCCTATGGCTGATGGGTAGTACACTGTCCTCACCTAGGGACTTCAACTCTCATAGGAACTCTCAAACTCTCAAAACACAAAGTGTAGAATTTTCTTTTCCATAATTGTTGACCCGTAACTATATCCAAAAAGAAAAAATAAAATAAAATAATTACGTACCTGTCCGGCGCTGAATTCAGCACGTCGTCACCCACGACCTCGCACGATCGAATGTCCCTCTACATCGTGTTAACTGTTCTCTCCTCTCCAGCTCTAACATTCACTCGCACTCTCACTCCATCTCTCCTGACTCTCGCTCTCTCTCGATCTCCCGCACCTTCGACGACTTTTCCTTCTATCGGATCGGGAGCAAGATCGGGAGCTCGCCTGTGAAGGTAACTCCCTCCCCGTCGAGCACTCCTCCGGCTCCTTCTGGTTGTTCGACCCCGCTCCATTGGCGACGTTTCCTTCGAGTCAAATCGGAAGTTACGGCAATTTGATCGGAGCAACAACAGGCGCTCGCTCACTGTGAAAATAACTTTCTCCCTTGCGTGCGACTTCTCCGAAACCTTCGTGGCTGGACGACTTCGTTCCGACGACGACTTACCCTTTCAGTCAGATCGGAAGTTACGACAGCTTGATCGGAAGCAAGATAGGGGCTCGCCGGCTGTCAGGTGCTTCCCCGCCTCCTTCATAGCTGTTCGACTTCACTCGCTCGTCCGACGCCGTCCCCTTCTAGCCGGACCGGAAGTTACGACATTTTGATCGGGAGCTTAAACGGGAGCTCGCTGCCAGTGAAGGTAACTTTCTCCATTTGCACGCTACTCCGGCCAAATCCCGTGGATCCGTCGAACCCGAGAGAGAGAGGGAGAGATTAATTAGTTTATTTTTATTAAAATTAATTTTTAATTAATGTTAATTAATTATAATTAGTATAATTAAATAAAATTAGTTTTAATTAAATAATTATAATTAATGTTAATTAATTATAATGATTTAATTAAATTAATTTTAATTAGTGCATATGTGCCACTTTCTGGTTAAGGAAATTGCAAGAATCATGTTATTTCGAATAAACTCCTTTTTAGTACCTAGCATATCATATGTCTTCATTCCACATTTAAAAATTATTTTAAAATTCAGTGAAAATGTTATACTTTTTTTTTTTTGTAATACTAGCTTTTCTAGACCAAGTTGCTTTAAGAATGTTAAAAATTGATTGAAGCTTTGTTCATGACTACTTTTTTTTAGTAGTTATTTGTCCTTGTGCTAACATTTTGTTTGATTTTTTTATTCTTTATATATGCAGCACCATGGTCAAACGGATCCTCTTATACTTGTCAACACGCTTGTGCACTATGGCATACCTTCTGATGTTGGTAGCTCCAAGCTTTTTATTTTTTAAAATTAATTTTATATAATTATTGCAGTTCCATTGTAGCTCAAGTTACTATTCCTTTGTAGTCAACTTTTTATGTGAGCTGTGTCAACTAATCTTCGTTTTGCTTAGAGACGGGGTACAAGAGATATGAAATGCATTTATTTATGTGCCTTATCTTATGTTTGAAAACTGCTGCTATCTTATATGGTTGAATCTATATGCAAAATGCTTTGTGGCGGATTTTATCATCAGGCGTTGACAGGTCCTTGTTGAGCCTTTGTAAATTTTGAAGTTGTGTTAGTTTTTTGGGGGCAAGGCAACAAAAAGATTGAATCCATTAAAGTTGTGTTAGTTTTCTGATGGGGACATCAGATCATCATGGAGAGTTTATCAGAGATGTGGCCGCCGATCTACGGCCACGATCCAGCCTTTATATTTTTGAGTCGTTGATGTATTTTTATTTTCATGTAGCCTGTTATTTGCTTATGTGGCATTGTGAACCATTGTATTTTTTTTTTTTAGTTGCTTATGTGTTTTCTTTCCCATAGTACCCCTCTTATTGGAGTTGTCGTATGTAAGCCCAAAGGACGTTTGTGTCTTTTATTTCGAGTCATGTTATATGAGGCTATTTAATGCCCCACTTTATTCTATTATGGTTAATGAATGAATATTATGAAAAAATTTCTTGCACTTGTGTGTTTTGAGAGAGTTTGAGAGTTCTTGGAGAGAACTTTGGAGAAATCCCTAGGAGAGGGAGATCGGATCACCCACCAACCTTGGAGACGGCCGGGTTCGTGGTTCTCTTCTTTATCTTTGTCATCATCCCCTCGTCAAACTTCCCCACCCTCCACCACCACAAGCCATCGGCCACCAAACACGATCCCTCCTCCCCTTCCAAACCCCACGGCCCAAGTATCCCCAAGCCCCTTGCCGCCGGCCAAGGCCTCGGCCGCCGGCCCTCCCATCCCCTTTTCCTCTTTTATTTTGTTTCCTAATTTGGGTTGGAATTAATTGGGATTAATTTGAAATTGG